GGCCAGCCAGTTAAGTCCACAAATTTATTTATTGCTCCTACATTTTTCCTTTGTTTTTTATTTTCTAGATGAATGTATCCTGATGTCTCCTGAGTATACTTGTGGGATCAGTTTACTCAGAGGAATTGCTCCCTAATGTACCTCTTGTTTCTCAGTGGTCCTGTCTGAAATTTTATTTTAATCTTTCAGTAATCTCAATATTCAAACTGAGTTGCTGTAACAGATGGTTATTCTGTTAGATTTATATTCTGTCTTTCCTCCATTGGTACGGTAAGTTGGGCTGAATGATTATCCCAAAGTCACCCAGTGAGCTTTCTTTATTTAGGGTAGATTTGAGCCTATTGCAATCCATATCTATCACACTGGATGTGGTAAATTATTTGCATGGATTACTTGATCACAGCTGTTAAGGGGCATGTATTTTTCAATTTTTGTCATTTGCACTAATTTCCTACTTTCATATGTTTCAGATTGAAAAGTTACATTCTCTTATTTTTTTTAAAAAAACTACATATTTAGGTTTCTTCATCATGGTATATAGAATTGGAAGGAACAGTCTAGTTTAGGGGTAGGCAACCTTGGCTTTTTTAGGACTCATGGACTTCAACTCTCAGAATTCCTGAGCCAGCACAGATGAAGTCCACGAGTCCTAAAAGAGCCAAGGTTGCCTACCCCTGGTCTAGTTCATAGATAGTGTCCAATCCCATCCTTTGTGCAGAAATCTAAATCAGACTCTTCCAGTCTCTACTTGAACAATATCCAGTAAAAGATAGTTTCAGATTACCCTTTGTGGGTCGGTGGGTGGAGTATCAACCCTCTTTTATTGTTTTTTCCCCCTTAACAATCAAGTGAAATCCATGTTCCTATAAATTGATTGATTTCTTTCATGTCCCACATTTTGGGACAGTAGAGAACAGGTTTTGGTTTTCTTCTATGTAGCATCCCTTCAAGTATTTGACGAATGGAGGGAGGCTAGATTACAACTTTAAGATTTTAATTTGTTACAAGAACTGAAAGGCTTACCGTATATATCTGGCACATCAATTTGCAAAAGTGGAGGGGTGAGTTAACCTAGAGCAAAAGCCTATTATTAAGAAAGATGTGTGCTACAATAAAGCATTTTGTAGTTACCTTTTATGCTGTGGTGTTTCCAGTCCTTGGAAATGAAGAATCCCCACATTTTCCTTCATTAAATGTAATTCTTTTATTTTCTCTGATCCATCAACATTGTTTTGTTTTGCTTTATTTTCTGGAGTTTGGTTCCAAATGTGACATATGCCATTTCTACTTCATCATGAAAGTCAATAAACATGTTAGAGAGTACTGGGCTGAGGACTGAATCATGACACACTATACTCAATATCTCATCAATGTGATACTGTTGATGAGCAGTCTTTGAACTCAGTTTTCAGATATATTCAATGAAATGTCATATTCTTAGCTCATGCTTTATTAGTCTGTTAACAATGTTATGGGGTATGTAAAATTGTATACCGAACTCAGTATACACACACACACACACACACACACACACACACACACACACACACACACAGAGTACAATATTAGTATAGATTTGTTCTGGACAAATCCACACTGAATGCAAAGTTTTCAAGATGAGGTAAGATTTTATTATGGCCATAAATCAAAAACAGAAAAGATTACTATAGTAAAACACCACAGTTGTAGCCATCACAGAAGGACACAGTTTGGATACACAGTATAATAAAACTTGGCAATATTTAAGGACATAAAATTGTGTTTGTTATCTGATAAGTAATGTGAATAAAATAAATTAGACTTTCCTGGGATTTTAGAGAGTAGAGTCAAGATCAGTTGCAAACAGGTGTCCCTACAGAAAGGGCAATATAACCAGCAGTGTATGTCTTCTCATATATTGGTATTGGAGTGATTGGGCCTAGACCATCCTTATCATATTTTTGAAGAAAGGCACACTGGTTCTCCAGAATTTTTCAAAGATTATTATATAGAAATTCAGCCAGATCATCAATAATCTTACTAGTGCCTTAAGATGCACATTATCTGGCCATGAAACTTTGAACTCATTCAGTATAAATGGTATTCCCTGACCCTATTTCTTTCAACTTAATCTCTCCCTTTGGTATGCACAGTTTGATAGAATACCTATCTTATTTTTGAAGACTGAGCAAAAATGGATTAATTCTCTCTTTGTTACCTTTTAAGCCTGTGTCATCTTCACTGACCATATGGCATACTGTTTTCATTGTTTTATTTTGAACATAATTGAATAAGTCCATTTTGGATCCTTTGCCAACCTTAGCTCATTCTTAAACATCAGTTTTTCTGAAACCATTTCTGCAGTTCTAACTAACCTGTCTTCTTTTCTTTGTAAATTCTGTATATATCTTTTTAAATTTGTTTTATTTACAGTCCCAGACACATCAGTGTATCTTTTTATTTTATTTTATTTTTCCCAACATTTTCATAGCAGCCAGATTGCCTTGTTCAGTATTCTGTTTTTCTCTTCTGGGAATTATTTGTTATTCTGCTTCTAGTAGCTCCTTTGACAGGAACTCCAGTCCACCTTGTGTTTCTTTTCCCATTAATTTTTTCTTGTGCAGAAAGTTCCTTAGTATTACTCTCCATTTACTTAAATCTGTATTTCTAAAGCTGAAGATAGGATTTTGATTATATCCAAGTCTAATTTAAAGTCAAGAACTCAGGCATTACATAATCAGTTTCCTCAACATTTCTGATTTTCCAATTAATTGATCTACCATCTTCCATTATCTAGTCAATGATAACTGATCTGAGCCTTCTACCACCCTCTGGAGGACAAAGTTATCAGCAAGAGAGGTCAGGAAGAATGATGGAAGATCTTAGTGCTTTTTTATTGTCTTATAGGTTTCAGTTACTTTACTTCACTACTGCTCTTCTGAGCTCCAGACTCTAGTTCAGGGGTGTTAAACTGCTGGCCCGCGGGCCGGTTTCATCATACCAAAGCCATGCCCACCCCATTGCTGGCAATGCAAGAGGAGTCACAGATATGTTGCAACACATCACGTGGCGAGTATGACACCCATGCTCTAGTTTGTGTTTATTAGAGGTAACAGTGACATCTGGAGTTGTTTTAAGATGGGCAGCTATATTGAGGGATGGAGGGATGGGAAGGAAGGGAAAGAAAGAAAGAAAGAAAGAAAGAAAGAAAGAAAGAAAGAAAGAAAGAAAGAAAGAAAGAAAGAAGAGAAAGAAAGAAGAGAAAGGAAAGAAAAGGAAAGGAAAGGGATAAAGAAGGAAAGTTTTCCTGTCTTGCCTGTTCTAAAGTGGTTAGCACTACATGTTAAAGTTGCCTTGAATTAGTTATTTATCCAGATAATTACATTCAGTCAGAAAGCAGAAAGTGTTGAATGGTGTTTATGAAATTAATTTTATTACTTTTCTATGCTGTGTGAAGCAGATTTCTCGTTCTAATTAGGGACATATTACAAACATCTGTGATTTTGTTGACTCTAGGGGGCTTTATTAAAAAAAAAAAAATAGAAAGAAATCCCATCCCTATTACTGGATAAAATTCTTGATGTTTGAGGGTTTTGTAGCTCTTCCCCTAATCCTAATTGTGCCTGCAAAAGATAATGCCCAATTGAGATCCCAAAGTCTCCAGAAATCTATGATACAGAATTCCTTTTCTGAAATTATAATTTATTAATTCATGCTTAAATATTTAATACTATAATTGAAAGATTTTTCAGTTCATTTACACAGTTAACATGCAGCCTTACATTTTAGGGAACTGAATATAATCTGAAATTGATCATTGTTGCTTTCAGTGTTGTGTCCTGGGCTTTGCTAAATCTTCCTATGGATTCCACATTTACTGTGTGCCACATTAACTATGAGAATGATTAATAATCAAATCATAGTATAGCTTTTTTTTCAACAGGCAAAGACTAAAGATTAGCCCCCTCAAAAACATTAAAGTATTAAAATGGAAGAAATACTGAAAATTGTGGCTTCTTGTTAAAAGATTCTTGAAGCTACGTTTCTGTGGCATTGCTTGGCATGTTAGCTCTATAATTTTGTACAGGCTGAGAGGAAGAACTCACATGGAAAACCCAGTGATATTGTGATCTTAGTGTCTTGAGTTTTTATACACTATGCTGGTGATGGAAAGCTATTTTAGTCTCGGTGACAGAAGTACAATATTGTGTTTGCCGAATAGGCAAAAGGCGTCTTCAGAGTATAATAGCCAAGTAGGACATATTGTGTCTTGAATTGCAGCCAAGAGAGAAGTTTATATTAGCCACAGATACCATAAACCAGGCACAGAAGACTGTCTGGCTTGATTGCCCTGTAATTGAGTTTCTTTAGGGATCTTCTCCCTAGTCTTTCTGTAGGATAAGCCTGGTATGAAACCTGGTAAAAGCAGAAAAGAGAAACCTCAAGAAAAATATTGGCTGCCACAAAATAGCAGGGTAAATTGTTTGTGTAAAGTATATTTTAAAGCTGTTTTTCCATATTTAAAATATATTTAGTTGATCTGAAGATTGTAAACGCCATTTTTTAATGTTTAAAATTTTTTAAATATTCATGTTATTCAGGACTAAGAGCTTAGAATTTTATTCTTCAGATTTTTTATGTATTGTTTTGAAAACAAAATGATAGGGAAGCAGAAAAAAGTGAAAGCCAAAAATAAAAATACATGGTCAAAGAAAAAAAAAATCATATATACTGTAGATTTTTTTAAAGAAAAAAAAGTAAACAAATACAAAGAAAAAATAAAATTATGTTACTTCTAGCCTTTGGTAAGTCTACCCACCCCCTTTTTTAAAAAAAGAAAAAGAAATCCTGTCCATTTCAAAAGTATTTTGCCATAGAGGATGAAAAACTGCAATTTGAGTTAAGTAATTTGATAATACAGACTCAGCTGGCATTGTTACTTGTAATTATTGTATATCAATATGAAGACTTGGTTTACTTGGAATATGCTTATGTTCTTCAATTGCTGTTTCTTATTACAGTCTACCCCATTACATTTGGCTGCAGGATATAACAGAGTTCGTATAGTCCAGCTTTTACTTCAGCATGGTGCTGATGTCCATGCAAAAGATAAAGGGTATGCAAAATTGTATAATTTGGTTTTGATAGTGCTAATATGATGTAAGAGGAGTATGGGTGAAAGCAATAATGACATTTACACAAGATTCATAGTTACTGTTTTGAAGCCAGGCAAAACTCTTCCCTTACCCCTAACTCATTTAAATCTGGTTGCTTTTGTTTAAATTTTGTGTATATTTGTAATTTCTGTTTCCTTCATTATCCTCTGTTTTTTTTTTTTTTTTTGCTTTCCACCTTAGCATATTTTATTGCACTGTATATTTGAATTAATAATATTCTGGGAGCCATTCAGATGAATTTAGCATGATTAGCAGTAAAAATAAGATGGAATAGAGTTGTTAGACAAATTCATGGGAGTAAACCATATACTTTGCATGTATTCATGTTGTCACTATCTCATATAAGATCTGGACTGTCCACATAGTGGTCTTTTCTCCATATTTAAATGTAAATAAAATATACCATTTGTTTATGGCCCAGATATGGGGAAGATATTTAGACAATAACTATCACTCCTCTGTAATTTGTGACAGCAGGGTCGTGATAGGGGATTGGACTTGATGACCTCTCGGATGCCTTCCAACTGATTCTATTCTATTAATTTGATTTAAAATATTCAGTTGTATCTATAAATTTGCTGTATTCCTTTTTCTTGCCTATGAATGGCACGGATAGCCTCAGTTTTAAAGTTCTGTTGTGTTTGTCAACTTGTTATGGAAGTATTGAGTCCTTGAATGAGCTTAACTTTTTTCTGCAGTATTCAAATTTAATATATTCTTAGAAGGCATGTTAAATAGTTCATGTAAGACTGAAGCAAGGTATTTTTTACCTAACTGGTTTATTTGAAAGTTTGAGCTTTTTCCAAGAAGCAAACTATGTTTCGGTTTTAGATAGTATATCACTATTCCAACTTCTGTTTGAAACTGGTTCATGAAAGTTGGCTTATTTTACTCATGTTTTTTACACCTGAAATTCTGAGTGGAATAAAAATATAAAAACTATGAAGTAGTCCTTTAGAATATATGTAAAACATGTCCTTCAATGAAATGTAACTGTATATACACAGCAGTAAGACAAACAATAAGACCAAAATAGAGAACAAACAAAAGAACCCTTAGAAAAATGCCACCCCTACACTTATGCAGGCAGGAATCATTAGAACTGTACAAAGCTTTAAAAATAAACAATTTGCCAAATGCATTAACCCAAGCAAAATATTAAAGCAGATAAAATATATGGTACAGTGTAGTAAGAATTATTTTTCTCAATAGTTAAACAACGTTTTGTTTTCTTTGTTATAGTGGACTTGTGCCTCTACACAATGCATGTTCCTATGGACATTATGAAGTTACAGAATTGCTGTTGAAGGTGGATAAGTTAATAATTATGTAATTATGTGAAGACTGTCATTAACGTGTTATTCTGTTTACAAATTATAGGTTGTATTGCATGCGAGATAATTTGTATGCCTTTGTGATGTTGATAAAGAAAACAGAGACCTCCCTGTTCCATATTTTAAAAGGCCACTTCTTATTTGAAATAATTCATCATTATAGAACACTTAAAGCTGTCACCAATTTTAGTAAATTATCCAAAAAAAAAAAAAACCCACCTTTTACTAGAACTCCGGTCTAATTTTACTAAGTCAAAAATGATCACATTCCTATTCTATTTTCTCATCTATATTGTAGAACAGATTTATTTATTTAGAAAATTTACATGGCTGCCTAACATAAGTGAATAACTATTAAAAACAAAAATGAAATTAAATGGAATAGGAAGTGCCACGGTATTTTGCAAGTAACTCATAGCCCCCAAAACTTATATAGTGGATTTCTTTAGCAGGCAGGCCATAACACCTGAAAGAAAAGCCAAGCTTTGATGGCCTTTTGCAATCCAGCCAGTCAGGGCCATCCAATTTTGGGGGAGGAATGGAGGAGGACTGTTTCATTGGGCAGGCACCATGACAGCAAAGGCATGTCTCCTGAGTACCACAAGATGGCACTGTTTCATAGAACAAGCACTACTGTATTTGCCCCAAGCCAGTCATCGGGTTTGTGTTATTTCAAGTTGAGAAATAAAGGGCTCTCACGTGCTATATATATCAAGATTTATTGTAATTTGTCTGTTATACCAGTTAATTTTTGTAAACAAATCTCATGTGTTACTCTCGCTCTTTCGACATCCAGCAGAATACATTTGTTCAGATAATGAAATAAAATGATTAAATTACTTCATATACGTTAGATAGAAATTCTAATAATAAGATTTCTATCACATAAGACATTTAGCCTAGTGTATTTAAAACTAAAAAATAATTATAATATTGACACAACATAAGATGCCTGTTTTCTTTTCCTCCTGTTAACATGTCCCTGTTCCTTAGCATGGAGCCTGTGTTAATGCAATGGATCTCTGGCAGTTTACTCCATTACATGAAGCCGCTTCCAAGAATCGTGTGGAAGTTTGTTCTCTATTACTCAGCCATGGTGCAGATCCAACATTAGTCAACTGTCATGGCAAGAGTGCTGTGGATATGGCACCAACACCTGAGCTCAAAGAGAGGCTCACCTGTAAGTATTACTATGTGCAAGGTTTTATCATTCTCAGCAAGACTACAGAATTCATTATCTTTTCTACAGTATTAAAAAGGATATTCTGTTTTTTAAAGGAAGGTTGATCTGGTATCTCACTTTCAATTGATGATTTTTGGGTAACATTGGAGAAATTTAAAGGATTTATGCCTATGTATTTTATGGTATTTCATCATATTTATTAATATAAATTTATTTATGTGGCCACCCATCTCGGTACTATGACTCCAGGAGGCTATCAAAAATTAAAAATTACAATGTAAGAAAAATACATAACTAAAGCACAGAGTGGCTACCAAAGATACCACATACCAGCAGTGTTGGCTGAATTGCTATCTCAACTCCTATGCCCAAGAAAATAGCCTGGTCTTCAAGACTTTCTCAAAAGTGAGCATAATCAGGGCCAACCTAACCATATCAGTTATAGAGGTAAGGTTTTAATTTCTAGCATAATTCCTCATCACCATCACTTCCTCATTATTGGGAACAATAAAGCTTACAAAACAAAGACCTAGGAACTTTGTAGAACCTAAGATGTTTTTGGTCCAGCTTTGTGGTGCCACATTGCTCAGTCAATACTAAAAAGAAGCCTATCAATAGGAATATTAGCCAGTGTTCTGTCTAATGTTTTCAGAAGTGCTATTGTCTCATATACTGGAGCTAATATCATAACCAATAATCATTGAAAACATTAAGTTTCCATACATTAGTTGTCCTTCCATGCTTTTCCAACTGACTCATATAGGTATCACTACGTATCTGTGTGACAATTTCCATAATTTCATAAAGCACTTGAGTCAGGTGATGTTTCCTTTTGTCAGTCTTGTATCGCCTGTTCTCAGCTATCCATTTCTACTGGTTGATTTTCTCCATACAGTACATAATTGTGTATATTGCTGTTATGACTCCATATCTTATTTACAATTTCCATCTTTTCTGGTCTAAAAGATCCCAAATGAAAAATCTGCTGGTAGGATAGCTCCACCATCTCTTTGATTATCTGCTTCCTTTCCATATATTACACTCCCTCCTCATTTAGCAACCATATTCTAATGACTAGGGTAGGGGTAGGCAACCTTGGCTCTTTTATGACTCGTGGACTTCAACTCCCAGAATTCCTGAGTCAGCATGGCTCAGATTGGAAATCTCTCCCTTTCTCCTCAGCATGGCTGGCTCAGGAATTCTGGGAGTTGAAGTCCACAAGTCATAAAAGAGCCAAGGTTGCCTATCCCTGGACTAGGGCATAAGCAAAATGATCACTAAGTGATTGAAAGAGAGAGAAAATGCTGTGAAGATAACTAGTTACAGCTGTTTCATTCAGATAAAGTTCTCTTGTACAATATCCCTTTTTCCCCTTCAGCCAGAAAATGATTTTTTTAATATTCATATATTACTGCATTTGTATTATTGTATTTTTGTAGTTGCAAAATAGTTGCTAATCAAAGTAACCACTAAATGAGGAATGGCTGTATTTAACACCCTGAAAGCTGTTTTTGAAATGCGTCAACTTGAATTATATATATCGTATTTTAAATGTGACCATGGAATAGAAAGACATATTTATAGTTTTTATTTTCATTCTTTTCCTAATGAATCCCCAATGTGGGATTTCCCTTTTTCATAGTTTTGCACACTGAATTTTAATTGAGTTGTTTACTACAGTCTCAAGATTCTTTTCTAGGTTAGAGATTCAGTCAGGTTATATGTGAAGATGTTATTTTTTTTTTCTTCCTTTTTGGCATTTGCATACCCTGAGCCACATTTGCAATTTTAATATCTCTTTTTCTGTTTTAGAATTCTTTTCCATCCATTTTTGTTTTGACTACCTTATTTATTTGGTGTTGTCAGAACAACTGAAATCACCTTCAGGGACTATCAGAGAAACTGTATCTACAGTAATGTTATTTTGCACTGAAAACTATTTTGATTAAAAACTGCCTTTACCTCTTAAATCATGGATGTTTTTCTGTCTTTCACAAGCATTACTTGAGAGAATATATAGGGACAGTCCACTAGAGAATTTTTTCCCTTCTATATTATTTTTCCGCACCACTGTTATAAATCTGGTTTAACAACAGATATTTATCACCTATAACTGTGTTTTTTCCCTTCTGCAGATGAATTCAAAGGACACTCCTTATTACAAGCAGCAAGGGAAGCTGATTTAGCCAAAGTCAAGAAAACACTTGCCTTGGAGGTCATTAATTTTAAGCAGCCACAATCTCATGAGACAGCACTGGTGAGATCATGGAGTCAGTCTTCTTGCTTTAGCTGTGTATACATTTAAGATTTTTTAATCATACCAATAGTTATACATAGAGTTTCAACTATGAGAAATTAATGCTTGACCTGCTGTTGATTTAATGCATATTAAGAAAAAAAAATCTCTTCCATTGATCCAAAACATTTTTTTTCTTTTTTCTCTGAAGTGTATTGTACAGTCCCTTCAATATTTTATGTCTTCTGTGAAAATAGTTAAAATGTAATCACAGTATAATAAAGATATTGGAATAGTATTGGGGAGACGCACGTCTAAGGCCACCTTTGGCTATGTAAATTCAATGGGCAGTTTGAGACCAACCACTCTTCCTTTCTGTATAAATTACTACTATGAGATTTTGTTATTAAGGGAGACCTCCTTGTCAGGGACCTACAGTCATTTGAAGTAAAAGTGGGGTAAAACATGATGTTATTGTTATGATTAATGGAAGTAACAGTAGCAAAGCTTATCTTTTTGCGTAGTTCTTTGATTCAGTGCATGGAAAAAAAAGGAGAGCTGAAATGACTATTTTACCTCTCATTCTCTCTTGAGTCGCAAATACGGTAAATCCTGATTGAAATTTGGCTCCCTCAGATACAAAACCTAATAGATTAGTTCCTCTCCAGAAAAAATATAAATAAAACCAGTCTACATAGTAAGCATTAAACTTATTCTAATTTGTTCACAATGCCCTTGGAACAGTGATGGAAACCTGCTGGCTAAGTGTAGGTAGGGTTCTAGTGGTTGTTCTCTTGTGCTTATTTCAATTTTTGGGTTTTGCTGATGATATAGATACCAGTGGAAAGATCATAGACCTACGACCTGAGACATACAAGCCAGGCTGAAATAAACCAAGGATATTTAATGAAGTGACTGTGAAAGATTTGTTCATATGGCTCGTGTGGTCCTAATGTTTGAGGAAAGAATATGGACAGCTTAGAAATAGGGCAGATCATGTAAATTATGCTTTACTAGTGCCATACTCTTAAGTTACATGGACATAATTTTATTTTGTTTATGTATTTATTTACTTATTAAATTTCTGTGCTGCCCTTCTCACTAACACAGCAACTCTGAGTGGCTTACCTTTTATTATATTATATATTGCATTATATTACAGCCTTCTCATTATATACAATGCTGTCTCTTTTGCAGCACTGTGCTGTGTCTTCTCTTCACCCTAAACGGAAGCAAGTCACTGAATTACTGCTTCGGAAAGGAGCCAATGTCAATGAAAAAAACAAGGAGTAGGTTTATTCTTTGAAATTGCAATATTTGCATTTAGATGGAATGGGCAAGCTTTGAGACCTGTTAATCTTATCTCTTTTCCAATCTAGTTTCATGACTCCTTTGCATGTGGCTGCTGAACGAGCACACAATGATGTTATGGAAGTCCTTCATAAGCATGGAGCAAAGGTAAATATTGTTTGGCATTTTAAATTATGCAGTGGATGGGAAGAGTGGTCTTTTGTGTAATCTCTCTTGTGTGTGATTAGCAGCTGTGACTCCTGTTTATTCTAATAGAAACATGGATACCTCTGGTTCTGGTGACCAACCCAGATTGGATCCAGTAACATGGATAGCTGTTTCAGGAGTGGACACTCAGTATTTCATATTGTTCCTTATAGAATTTGAATAAATGAACTTTGGAAATATTATATTGTATCTATTCCTGGACAGATTTATTTGTCAAATGTGTTTCTGAAATCTTCTACTATAAGCTTCTAGAGACCTGGGTTTTAGAAAAAAAAAGGTCTTTATTTTTATTCATCTCTACTTGATACAGAATTAATAGAAGTCTGTTTTGATTTAAAAGAATTCAGACAAAACATTTCTTTTTATTTTTCTGCTAAATTCATTCATAATGCGTAATGCAGTTAGATGCTTCTCGTTAGTTTCAAAAAACAAAATCCTATGATTATTTTCCTGATGTTGCCATAGCAGTGTTAGATACAATAATATAGAAAGATATATATCTTCATCATATATGCTAATCTGCTCCTATTCCTGACATTGTTCTGGCTTTCTGTTTTAATCAAGCAGTATGCTAATTAAATCTTTGGGATCATGTGATAGTAAGACTTTTTTTAAAAAAAAATGAAATATGTGGCTATAATTCTCACTGTGAAGGTTAGTTATTCATTTCCTTTTAATACATTTTAAGTGAAATTCAATAAATTAATCAGTAGCATTTTCAAAGTCAGTTATGCATAAGATCTGCTATATGTTTGTAACTCCTGCCATTCTTCATAGCTTGGAAAATATATTTTTCATTTAAATAGTTGCGGAAGCTATTGCATTTATATGCCTATGTAAAGTGAAGGACTTTTAAATCTGAAGACTTGCTCAGACCTATTAGTCAGTAAACACTTATTTATTCTGTTAGGTACTTGAGACAACATATTAGAAAAGAAAATTTTTGATTCAGTTAATGGATTTCTAAAAAGTGAATCAGTTTATTATATTCATTGATGTATCCTTCAGAAGAATTAATTATCCTTCCATTCATTAATTTTGAACCAAGTATAGGCTTGCTAATAATTCTTTCTAATAATTTAATTTGAGGTTTTAAGTTGTCATTAGCTATATGGATGCTATAATTGCATAAATAGTAAGCGTGGGGAAAAAACATTTCACAGCATACCTATTTTATGTGCTCCTAAATTTCTTCAATCTTTTCTGGAAAGATGACTTACTCACAAGCCACGTTTCTAGTACATTCAGATTACTATTTGAGATTATATATATAAAATTTGAGTGGGATGCATCAGGTTCTAGTGATGATATCTAACCAACAAGATATTAGAGAACTCAAAGGTCTTGTGATAACTCCTAGCTTTACTATTAAGAGTAATGTGCTTAGCTAAGATTACAATTCTTAGATGCAGTCTATTGTGCATGTTTATGAAAAAGTAAAGTGTTATCTTGGTTTGTAAATGAAGGGGAGGAAGAGAATGCACAATTCACTAGTGCCCAGGATGTTTGCAGTTTGCATATAAAATAAGTGTATTTGTCTATCCAATATTACTGCTTGTTAGAGTTTTAACTTCAACAATGCTTTAACTGTGTGTAAGACAGGTGCACTATAATTTAGGCGTGTATTATACAAGTGCTATTCTCCAGCTTTCTCTTGTAGACATTGTTTTAAGCAGGTTTTATAGGACCATAAAATACTTTGATATAGACATTTGCAAGTGTACTGGATTTCTAAGCAGCTGTTCACTTTCTATTTTTCTGTGGGGAAGCATTTTAGGAAAGTTCCTTTGCACGTATTTAAATGGCAAAATGGTTCTGTAATTGTTCATTCAGGTTGTTAATTATAATGAGTTTCCCAAGTGAGCATCTTGCTGATTGAATACTGTGTCTGGCCACTGGATGCTCTGAATATTTAACTGATGATAGTGAATTTTCAGTTTATGGTCTCATTAATATAAAAGATCTCAAAACTGATTTACTTTGTCCTACAGATATAACAAAACAAATTCAAATAGTCATAAAATCTAGTAATTAAAATACAACATTTTCTTTTAAATTGGAAAGATATCATATGTTTTAAAAAGCCTGGCAAATTAGAACTTTGCTTAATGCCAGAATGACTGCTGTCCAGTCACATGATGCCTCAACTTATGACCACAATTCTGAGCTCAGTTATGGTCATAAGTCAAGGACTACTTGAAAAGGAAGTAGTCTACATGCAGAATGACTGCTGTCCAGTCACATGATGCCTCAATGTATGACCGCAATTCTGAGCTCAGTTATGGTCATAGGTCAAGGACTGCTTGTAAAGGAAGTAGTCCACATGCAGACAATCTTTTTGCATCCAGACACTGCATTGTTTGTGTGCTTGCTTATTAGTGGCTATGGGAAGCAGTAGGAAAAATTAATGTCACACAAATGGGGAAAAATGGGACTTATTGATGTATAAATATTGGGGTGGAAAGAGAAATTACTTTACATGTTGAGCCCTAGTGATGATGTGCACATTCTTCTTAGCAGCTGTTGAGATAACTTAATACTAATATCACTGCTAGGAATCCCAAAACATGGAACAGCGCTTTACATATCAGAAAGTCTGATTTCATTCTTTTTAATATAGATAGGAACTTGAAATTGTGATGTAAGATTTCTAGTACTTTACCATTTTTGTTTGCTTAGCTTTAATAAGGTCACATTAAATTTCTACTGGGAGGCTGCAATATATAGGGAGAGTTGTGCATTGCTCTTTTTATCTTGCTCCTAGATAACTATCAAGTTATTTTCTAATATCTTGTGTTCAGTATCCAACAGAGGCTTCCAGCACAACTTCATGTCACTTATCTGAGGAGAAAATACTTGAGAATTTCTCTTTATATCCTCATCTCTAGAAAACAGATAATTTGAAAACTGACAAAATCAAACTGTTGTTCCACTACTAAAGTGATACAGATGTTGGCAGAACACAGTGCTATACTGCATACTGACTGTTGCATTGCTGCAGAATAACATCCAGATTGACCAAGAATTTTGGGACATAAAAGTTAAGCAGATTGGAGAAGGCTGCTTTAAATTGTGTATGTTATAAGAAAACCAATGGGGCATTGCAGACATTTTCATTTAAGACTAACGAATGTGACCATGTTATCCGTCAATCTGTTTTGTTTCTGGCAGTTGGAGTTTTAAGTTAATATCATCTTAAGTGCTGATCTAATATAGAACAGTATAGAATAGAATAGAATAGAATAGAATAGAATAGAATAGAATAGAATAGAATAGAATAGAATAGAAGAGTCTTTTTAAAAGATTAATTCAAGTTTATATAGATGAATAGCTTTGCTTGGTTGAGATATATTCAGTGAGAGGCACAAATTGGATTTGTGCTACCATAAAATATTTTCCACTGTCCATTTCATAATAGTCAATTAATATCGATAATATTGTAATTGAGAGCACATACTTAGAACATTTAAATAGATAGCAAGAATAATCCTTATTACTAACAAGAAAAAGCAGATATTGTTTTTCCTTTTATTTGGGTGTAGGATGATAGAAAACAGTTGTTTCTTGTAAAGGATAAATTGGATTTTAGAAAAACAAGCAATCAGAACAATAAACAATAATGGAGAGAATGATAGCTTCTATTGCCTTTAGCAAGAAAATTACTGCAAAACTTTCTCTTAAAATTAGGCACATAGCTCTAATTTAAATGTGCATGGCTTCCAGTTGTAAACCTTAATAATACATTATCTCCTTTTTAGAGATAAAGTTAATGACTTGTGTTACATTCCTGACAGGCAAATAATTTCCTAATTTTATTTTATTTTTTTAAAAAAGCACATCTCTTGATTTTAAAAAAAAACACTCTCTTGATTTTGGGCAAGCTTTTGTGCTAGTACTGGTCTTTGCTGTGTATTAAAGCCCAAAGAAACTTTAATGGAATACACTTGGAGTAAGGATCCCTTTAATTTATGGAGGCCTAATGAAGTGCTTGGAATATTTCAATTTTCATTATAAATATATGATTTTTCATTTATGCAAAATGAATTCAGTGGTAGAAAAATACAATACCGGTATTTGTATTGTAAGAACAAAAAATGCCCATTGCAGACAATGAGCTTAGTTAATGACAAAGGTGATTCACTTAACAACCACCACAAAAAAAGTTGTGGAATGGGTCAGTCACATGATTCCTCGCTTAATGACTGGTACGGCTTAATGACCATAATTCCAGGCTCAATTACAATTGTAAGTTGAGGACTACCTGCATATCTAATAAATAGTACTATCCACATACATTTAAATGCAAATTCTATTTGGAATTGAGTATTTACCTATATCAAAATTGGAGAAATGGGTTTGTTCACAGTCCATTCAGAAAGAGACACGAGAGAATCCTGCAATTTTGCTTTTGACCTTCACAAATTATGGATAACAATTAATAACATGGATGTAGCAAGAAGCAATGGATGGAAGCTAATCAAAGAGAGAAGCAACCTAGAACTAAGGAGAAATTTCCTGACAGTTGGAAAATTAACCAGTGGAACAACCTGCCTCCAGAAGCAGTGAAGCTCCAACACTGGAAGTTTTTAAGAAGACACTGGGCAGCCATTTGTCTGAAATGGTATAGGGTTTCCTGCCTGAGCAAGGGGTTGGACTAGATGACCTTCAAGGTCCCTTCCAACATTATTATTATTATTATCGATCATCGCATAGTCAGCCAGATGTTCAGACTGGATTTGGCATTTTGTCTACCTATCGAGTCCTTACCCAGGACCTGGGATAGGCAGATGTGGATGTTTGATGGTATTACAGATATCGTCGCAGGATGGAAGCAGTTCCTAATAATGCCGCCTTTTGCAATTGACTAATAGCGAATTTGTCAATGCCAATGGTGTTCAAGTGGTGCTCCAGTTGTTTTGGGATTGCGCCCAAGGAGCCTATGACTATTGTTACTACCCTTGCTTGCTTTTGCCACAGTCTTTCTATTTCTATTTGTAGGTCTTTGTATTTTGTTATCTTCTCCAGTTCTTTCTCTTCTATTCTGCTATCTCCAGGCACTGCCACGTCCACTATCCAGACTTTTTTGTCTTTCTTATCGACCATTGTTAAGTCTGGGGTGTTATGTTGCAGGTGCTTGTCTGTTTGAATTCTGAAGTCCCAGAGCAGTTTAATTTTATCATTTTCTATGACTTTCGCTATTTTATGATCCCACCAGTTTTTGCTTACAGGCAAATGATATTTTTTGCAGATCTTCCAATGCACCATTGTTGCTACTTTGTCATGCCGCTGCTTGTAATCATTTTGTGCAATCTTCTTGCAACAGCTTACCAAGTGGTCCACTGTTTCTTCAGCTTCTTTGCATAGGCGGCACTTACTGTCTGTTGCTGTCCTCTCAATTTTGACTTTGGATGCATTTGTCCTTAAGGCTTGGTCTTGTGCAGCCAGAATTAGTCCCTCGGTCTCTTTCTTCAATTTTCCTGCTCTTAGCCATTGCCAGGTTTTATTATTACCTGCTTTCCCAGCTATTTTTTTTCATGTATTGGCCATGTAGTTCTTTGTCTTCCCATGCCTCTATTCTGTTCTTCATTTGGTCTTTCTTGTAGGCCACTTTGGTCTCTCCAGTAGTTAGTAAACCTTCCTGATATACTAATTTCAGTGCATATTCATCATTGTTCTTCAGATATTCTTCCAAAGCCATTTTTTCTTCTTCAACCATCTGATGTCCTTGTAGCATTCCACGCCCACCTATTTGCCTTGGTAGATAAAGTCTATCAATGTCACTGCGTGGATGAAGGGCATGATTCATTGTCATTATTTTTCTGGTCTGCCTATCCATTGCTTTTAGTTCTGCTTGAGTCCAGTCCACTATTCCAGCTGTGTACCTAATAACTGGGATTGCCCAGGTGTTGATTGACTTTATGGTATTTCCTCCATTATTATTATTATTATTATTACTATTATTACTATTACTATTATTATTATTAAAATTGGAAGAGGAATGTTCTAAAATTGTCTACTATCACTGTGTTTAAGTTGTATGCAGAATATAAGATGAGAAGTGCCAACTTAGAGGAAATAGAAATAATCTTATATATACTAATGATACCACGTTGGGGGCTGGAAACAAGGAAGACTTAAGAAATCTCTTATGGAAGCAAAGAATGAATAAGTAGGTCTGCTGCTCAATATTGAAAAAGATCCCCTAAGATTATGTAATCAGTCAGTGCCAATCCAATGCTGATAGCCAGAAGAAACAGTAGCAGTTACCCTCTTAGGCTCAAAAACTCACAGGAATACTCAGTGCATCCAAGAATTAGATATCTGCTACTTGAGAGAAAGACCATAGCACAGGCATGCCAGCAATAGAGCGGGCGTGGTTTTGGTGTGACGCATCTGGCCCGTGGACTGGCAGTTTGACATGCAGATCTATAAGAAGTTATAGTGCAAAGACTCCACACAAACATAAAAGGTAGTGTTATTAAGGCCATGGTTTTTCCCAATTGCAACATGAGGCTATAAAAACTGGGCAGTCAAAAAGGCTGAGCAATGAAAAATGAATGCCTTTCAGCTGTGATCTGGAAGAAACCATTGAGAATACCTCTGCGAAAAGACCGTGTCATCCCAGTATGGAATGAAGTAAAACCCAGCTGTTCTCATTGCACTGCTTTGTTGCGCTGTTATTATACCGTGTATCTCACTGCTACTGCATTTTTTAAAATAAATTTTAAATTTATATATCGCCCATCTAACCACAAGGTGACCCTGGGCAGCTTACAACGTTAAAAAGTATAAAACAATACAAAAACATGTACGTAATCAAAATCAAACACTATAGAATACGAATGATCAACTATAACTAAAAGATGGATAAGGAGGAAGTAGGATGGGGGGGCGGGATCTGTTATTAACCAGTTCTAGCATGCTGCTTCCCTATCGAAGTTCCAGGCCAACTGGCAGAGCCAGGTCTTCCAAGCTCTTACAGAAGATCAGGAGAGAGGGAGTTGACCTGACTTGGGGGGGGGGGCAAGATGTTCCAAAGGGCAGGAACTGACAGCAGAGAAGCCTCTTTTCCTGGTTCCTGACAGGAGAAATTCCCTGACTGATTGGGCCTGCAGTATGCACCCTTTGCCAGCATTGGGTGGGGTAAGGCAACTCCTTTAGGTTGAGACAGTTCCTCAAGTAACCTGAACCCACATACCATATATATCTGTTCCTTTCATGGGGAGAGGGGGGAAATCTGGATTTTCCTGAAAATGTCTGCTCTACTCAAGATTTGGAACTGCTGCTTTATGAGGCACATATCTAGCAATCTGAAAAATCAGTTCTTGAGGTTTTCTCAGTAAGGTTAAACTTTTCTCAGATTAACATCCAAAATGGGGGAGGGGGGCATTTTTCTTTCCGAACACACATGGTAACCACATACTGTGGTTGCTTTTTTGTTTAACTATGAATAATTTCTAGTAGCATGATATTCCATTACTAACTATTCCAATATATCACTTATTGGGCATGAAAGAAAGTAATAACAGCAGTGCCATCGTTTACAAGAACACAAACATTCCAATCTTAAATTAGTTACCACAGCTTGAGGGCAACTAAATGAGTGTCCTGTATAATCTCACTTAACCTGGTTTCTGTCTGTCACACATAGGTTGTGGAGTGAAATAGAAATAATAAGCTTGCAATGGAAAATTTTATATAAATACTCCAAATTAATACATATGTATAAATGTATATATTATTTATTTTCCCCTTAGATGAATGCACTGGACACCCTTGGACAGACTCCTTTGCACAGAGCTGCTTTGGCAGGTCACTTGCAGACATGCCGCCTCCTGTTGAATTATGGTTCCGACCCCTCCATCATCTCCTTACAAGGTTTCACAGCAGCACAAATGGGCAATGAAGCAGTGCAGCAGATACTGAATGGTAGGTATTTTTGTTACTTGACAACAGAAGGATAATTCTGATTTTCAGAAGAAAGTCTGGTTCTAATTTTAGATTTTTGAAATTCATTTTAATTATTTTGCTCTGCAGTTCTGCAAAATTAGCAATTTAAAAGTGCAAAAAAATAACTTTAAAATAAAAATATGAGTTAATTGGAGGGCCTTAATTTCTTTTTTCATAAATCTGCTTATGTCCCTCAACGTTTATTAAACAAAAAAATAACATTAAAAATCTGGAGAGAAAATGTGCATGACTGTTTTCTACTGCCTGCTATTTTCTGCTACATAAACTTTGTGAGACTTTGTCTCTTTCATAAATTTGCTCATGTCCCTCATCTTTTATTATTAAATAACAAAATAACAATAAACATCTGGACAGAAAATGTGTGTGTCTGTTTCCTACAGCTTGCCATTTCCGGCTATTGTCCTTTTTAAATGCATGGTTCTAATTATATGATAGACGGATACAAGAAAATAGACATAAAACTGCTAGATATAAAAAAAGACATCTCAGAAACAATCAACAGACCATTGCAATCACACAACATCAGTATAGCACAGAAACAAACCAACCAAAGCCCTCCAAAACATCTTAATTAACCCTAAAGAACTGGTAGCCCAAAAAGGAAAAAAAGGGAGTCATCTACAACATACAGTACTATGTAGGACTTCTGGGAGGAAGATTAGCAGAAGGCATCCATGAACACCAGCTAGCAGTCAGAAGACACAGTGAAAAGTCCTTAATCTCACAACACATGGCCAGATTCAACCATAGTTTCAACTGGGAAATTGTGAACATACTAGACCAAATGATATCTAAAAATGCTCGGGAATTCCTGGATGCTTGACATTCAGACAAATTGGCCATCCAAAGGCATTTAGAAGTAAGCCACATTTACAGACCATTCAAAAGGGACAATAAAAAGCTAAGAAGGAAACAAAAAAGACCAGAAACCATCCTCTCCAGCAACCAGCATCCCGATAAACAGGGATTAACACTAGACAAACAAGCAGGAAACAATCTCTAATTAAGGAACTACCATGGAGAAAATCATATCTCCACCAACACTGGCCAACCAAACTACTTTATATAAACAGGGAGCAAAACCCACACTCACTAGCCCTGAAGGTGTTACCTAGTCAAATATTGAAACATCTGCAAGCAAACAACTTTCCTCAGCACCACAGTTCAACCCTGGGCTACGTATATTCCCTTCTGTTGGAACTAGTAAAAAGAATTCAAAGTAAAAGTGATTCAGTTTAATTGGGGTGAAACAAAGGAAGGAATTTGATTGCTTGTCTCCAGGGAGGGTGCGGAGTTATTGTTTCTACTCTTCGTATATTGGGTTTTTGGGAAGTCTCCTAGAGTTACTGAAAGTCAATGAGCAGCCATATAAATTCTCTAAATCAAATAAAACAGTTTTCTTCCAGGCCCAATTCAAGATGCTCATTTTAACCTTTAAAATCCTTCATGACATGGGACTGGGCTATCTGAGGGACTGCCTCTCCCTGATTATATCAGCCTGTCTCATTAGATCTGACAGAGAGGCATGCTGTAGGTGTTATCTACTATGAACTTGCATTTGGTGCATCCCAGGAGATGTGCTTTCTGTGATGTGGCATCTGCCTTATGGAACATTCTTTCTCCTTAAATTAGATTAGTTCCATCCCTTTTGACATACCAGAAGGCTTTCAGCACTTGGTTATGTTACCAACCTGTGGGTCCTGAGTTACTACAGACATGCTTAGGTGTTGAGCTGCTTATTCTTATCCTGTCTTCACCTAGGATTTATGAACCTATGTTTTTTATGATATTTACTTTTTAAGATTATTTTTATATTTTTTATATTTGCTTTTATATGTGGTTTTACCCATTTGTTATACATCAACTAGAGTCGACTTGGGTGAAATGGGTGACTGTATAAATTAGATAAATAAAATGGCAGAAGGAGCATTTTAGAGTTTTGAAAAGTATAATTGTGCTATATCAAAGAGTAAAACTCAACAAGTGTCCAAGAAAAAAAAATATCACAAAGTCATAATTGTTGTGAGAATGTTCAAAATTAGTAAGGTTGTAATTATAAATATTAATTATAACTGGAGAAATATTAAAATATGAATGAGCTTGCCTTATCAAGAGGCTGTGGGATATTACTATGTGTATGTGAAGAATGTGTCTGTGTCTGACAATTAGAAGAATGTGATTCTTGTTTTATTATACAGAGGAAAAAGTGTGAATGCAAAAACTACAAGAGATTAGTTTATATTTGTCTAGGAAGTATTTGGTAGATTGCTGATTACAAGAGTGTAAGAGGTGCTAATGAATAAAAATTGGGAATGCAATGTGTAAATCTCCAATTTGCACATTTTCCTATAGGTGTAGTAAAGTGAATTATATTGTTGTAAACTAGATGTAATTACTTTTCCTTCTTTTTTTCAAATGTCATGCCCTTCATTTCTTAAATTGCTGTTGTCCATCTGAAAAGGAATGATATGGTTGTTACATATATATGCACATAGAGTTAAGTGTTTTAAATATTAGTAAATTAGCACTATTAAGTCTTTTAATGATACTTACTTTGATCTACAATATTGGGACTAATACTATATCCAGGAATTTATGCAAGGGTTGAGATTTGAATTGAGAATGTTCATATTTGTAACTCAGTTATAATCACAATGCTAGAAAGAATATGCTGTTATTCTGAGTGTTAATAATAGTTTCTAACCTAAATATATCCTATAAAACTACAATGCTTATTGTTGTTGTTGTTTTTTATCTTTAAATAGAAAATACTCCAATACATACCTCTGATGTAGATTATAGACTGTTGGAAGCATCTAAAGCTGGAGATTTAGAAACTGTAAAGGTATGTTGGAACTTAAGGATTATAAGAAATTTAAGATAAATATAGCCATTTTTAATATAATGAGGAAAAAAGTATTTTGCGATGATAGTCTGCAGTGAACATTGGACTTATATTCTTCTGTCCTACAATTTTTAGGTTGTTAGAATGTTAATTTGTATTGCATTCCTACCTAATACCCTGATTAGTCTTAATTGTGCTTAACTGTAAGTTTAAGTTAGTTTTTCAAAAAGCAGAAATAATTAACCACAATGCTTCATTTTGGGATAAAACGATAAACCATAATTAATGAAAACAGGAAAATCAAGCTTAGGAGAGAATAATATTTTGTGCTAAAACAGATTTTGACATTAAATATATATGTAATAGTTAATATTATGAAAAGTAATATTGGGTTTGAAACTTTCCTAACTGAAAAATATCCTGCTCTTGAATAAATGCTGTTTAATTGAAGCTGAAATAGAACCATGAAAAATTTATTTTTAGCAAATTAAATTCAGCAGTAGTTCTTTTTAATGTAATAAAATATAGAATTTCCATAACTATATTGAAAGAGGTTTCTGTAATAGTACCCCATATATTTATGAGGTATTCTACTTCCATATTTGGACACTTTTCTGACCATATTAGTCTTATTTCACCATTTAGGACAATTCTACATCTCCCTGCCTACCCTCAGATGCCAATTCTGCTACCCCATACAATGTTGTCAGATTCTATGCAGCAGCACTTAAAATATGCCAGAAGATGAAATGTGCCACAAATCAGTTTTATTATAGAGCGTTTTGTATTCGATTTATTATATTATTTGTTTAGCTAGATTTTATATTATTTGTTTGGATTGATTTAGTTTGCCGTGTTTTTTTATGTCCATATATTGTTTTTAACCATCCTGTTAGATCATTAGTGGAACTACAGATTTTAAATAGTTTCCTATAAGACTCCAAATGATTAATTTTTCTTAGTAAAAATAAAAGATGACATATTGATTGATTCCCACTTCTTTGCACTACTTTGTGTCAAATTCAAAAGTGCTATGTTAGCTTCACATTGTTGGATTTTTTTTTTTATTTCTGGAAAATAACCTGTAATGGAATCTTAATTATTTTATTGTAAGATAACTTGTACCCAGAGACTTAGTTATTTTTTTTAGATTGCCCAGGGATCTTTATTATTCTTACTATAATGTCTTGAGATATGGAAGACTATTTGAAATGTCTGTGGTGAATTCTACTATGGATGTTTTCCTTTCTCATTTTTACATAGCAACTATGCAGTTCGCAGAATGTGAATTGTAGAGATTTGGAGGGACGTCATTCAACCCCATTGCACTTTGCTGCAGGTTACAATCGAGTTTCAGTAGTTGAATACTTGCTTCATCATGGAGCAGATGTACATGCAAAGGATAAAGGGTAATTGTGACCATGCAATTTACTGTTTTATGTATGGGTAGAATGAACTCTCATCTTTGAAAACTTCCTTGGTCCAAGATAATTGTAAAATACATGATTTCTTCCCTTGGTATACTAGTTCCAGCAATATCTGCTCATTAAAACGTTAGCCGTATTCAAGCAGAGGATCAGGACATCTAATCTGACTGAGCCAATATCTATGAGAGCTGTTTTTTGCCTAGTTAAGGCACCAGACTGGAAACCAGGAGACTGTGAATTCTAGTCCCACCTTAGGCATGAAAGTCAGGCTGGTGATTTTGGACCAATCGCTCTCTCTCTCTCTCTCTCAGCCCAGCTCAATTCATAAGGTTGTTGTTGTGGGGAAAATGGGATGAGGAAGAAGTATTAGGTGTCTTCATCACCTTGAATTATTTATAAAATTAATAAAGGTGGGATAAACAAATAAATAATAAAATTTACCCTCTGTGCTGTGGTGCAGTTTCCTCTTCATCTTGGACTATCCCTAGATGCTTTTTAAACATTTTATAAGACATATATGTCAGATATACTGGCCTTCCTAACAAAAATCATAGTAATGTATGTTCTGAATTGTTTCAGGCCTGTCTTACATTACCGTCCTTATTTATCTGTCTGTCATCCATTCATCCGTCCAACCATCCTCCAGTAGTTGTTGTATTTTTATAATTTGTCCAGATCTGTAAACAAAGTTTACAAAACAAACACTGGTGTAGTGATTAAAATGCTGGCGTAGGAGCCAGAGGACTGAGTTCTAGTTCTGCCATAGGCAAGAAAGCCAGGTGGCTGATCTTGGGCCAGTCAATCATTTTTAGCCCAGCCCAGACCCAGGGTGGTGGTTGTGGGGAAAATAGGAGGCGGGAGGACTGTTAGATATGTTATTTTTTTTTATAATAATAATAATAATAATAAAGGCAGGATATAAATAAATAAATGGGTCTCTTTTGTTTCTAAGTTTGCTTCCTTGTCCTTTAGGTGCAGTTTAAAGATTTCTTCATCTATTGTGTTTCTTTTATAGCCAAAAAAGAAAACAGTAGATTAAATTCACATCTGTTTAATCTTGCTCAGTATTAATGTGTGCAGAAACGGAGATTGCCGTCCCTCCATCTTGGTCATTTCAGCCTTACCCTTGCAGTGATATCATTAGATTATTGCCACATTTCTCACACTTACAAAAGTTGATTTTTTTTTACTCTGTAAAGTGAGTTTATAACTTTATAACCTCAGTTAAAATAATTTGACTAAAATAGAAAAGCAAGATGGCAATTATTTTGAAGGATAACTATTTTTTTGCTTTTAAATCTTAATACTTTTTTTTAAAACTTGTCAGTGGATTAGTACCTCTACATAACGCTTGTTCGTATGGACACTATGAAGTTGCAGAGTTATTAGTGCGACATGGAGCTTCTGTCAACGTTGCTGATTTATGGAAGTTTACACCACTACATGAAGCAGCAGCAAAGGGAAAATATGAAATCTGCAAGCTCCTCCTCAAAGTATGTACTTTAAATTGTTTTTTTTAAAGAGACTTTGTTTACTTCAGGCTATGACACATAATAATATATGCAGCAATTTTGTGTAATTTTCTTCCGAATAGAACTCCTCTTAGGATAATAATAAACGTTTGTTTATTGTTTTTTTAAGAAAGGCATTGTACTCTAAGTTTAGATTGCAGTATAGCTACAAATTAAAGTATCTCTGCAAAGGAATAGTTTGCATGTGCGCTGAGCTGTACAGTCGATCATCTGCATATGACTGCTGGTTTGTAATCTGCTGCAAAACTATTAGTAGCAATTAGGATACAATGCTGTCAGTAAATTTGTCAGATTGGAGAGACAGAGAAGCAAAGCTGGCTTCAGTCTGCCATTGCCACTGCTTATACAGAACCACACATAAAAGTTAAATGTTATACCTGGTTGCCATAATATGGGTTACCAGAACGTGATGTCATGACATCAGGAAGTAATTCTGTGGTGTTAGAGTATCAACCAAAATAAATATTTAGGAACACACAGACATAGCTTCGTTTTATATTTTCATCCCCTGGCTCTAAAAGAACCGGTATATCCATGAAACATTTATTTGGAAATCCTTGGACGTTCTTACTCAAAAGCATTTCTCAGAGGAGGAATACCAGTTAACATGTTTCCCTGTAAGTAAGACCCGATCTTATATTTTTTTTTCCTCCAAAAGAGGCACTAGGTCTTAATTTTGGAGAATGTCTTTCTTTAGGACAGAGTTTCTCAACCTTGACAATTTTAAGGCATGTGGACTTCAACTCCCAGAATTCCACAGCCAGCAATGCTGGCTGTGGAATTCTGGGAGTTGAAGTCCACATGCCTTAAAATTGTCAAGGTTGAGAAACACTGCTTTAGGACCACCACAACCAGGCCTCCCACCCCCTTGAGACCTGTCACGCCACTGCTTGACTTCTTCTGCTACCACTTGCCACCACTTGCAGCCAGACGCCATGTCACGCATTGCACCGTTGCCGTTCCTCCCGGCAGGATGCCACATGGTACTTTCCGCCGTTTCTGCTGCTAGCGGCAGGATGCTGCGTGGCTGTTTGGGTCGTTTCCACCGTGGAAACAGCCTGAAGCGCTATGTGGCCTCCTGCTGCGAGCAACAGAAGCGGCGCGAAGCGCTCAAGCAAAAGAAGCGGCCTGAAGCGCTCAAGCAACAGAAGTGGCCTGAAGCACTGTGCAAGCAGAAGCGGCCTGAAGCGTGCGAGCAGTGGAAGCGGCCTGAAGTGCCATGCAGCATCCTGCCAGGAGGAGTGGCAACGGCGCAATGTGCCACATGGCGGCTGGCTACAAGTGGTGGCAAGCGGCCACAGAAGAAGTAGCAGCACGACAGGTGTTGGGGTGTGGGAGGCCTGGCTGTGGTGTCCTACTGGTAAGGTAAGTGGGTGCGAGGTGCATAGGTTAGCTTCACACCCCTACCCCTGCCCTAGCTTGATTTTTAGGGGTGCGCTTCACCCCAAAACTAGGGCTTAGTTTTGGAGTAGGGCTTATATTAGGCCCACCCCCTAAAATCAAGCTAGGGCTTACTATCAGGCTGGGTCTAACTTTTGGGGAACCACAGTAGGCCAACAACCAACTGCCACCTAGCAGCAATGTTTAGAAATGCACGGGTCCTAAGGCTTTAAAAAGAATTGCCCGCATGGTGATGCTGAGGCTGGAAAGTTGATAGCTAGAGACTTCTCTTCCTCAGATTTTATTTCTCAGTCGTGCAACCTGTTTTGGAGTAGTGACTACATAATTCCTGTGGCCACCAAAGGCAATCAAAGCCATAGCCTCTGGCTGGGAACAAACCATTTCTTTGTTTTCCTTAGCCTGAAACACCCCTCCGCAGCACACACCTGTGTTTTTATGCCTAGCTTTTCAAAGAAGTAAGTGCTGAGTAGTTTAGAGTAATTTGGGCATGGATAAATTAGAGTCATCATGTAATTTCTGCATGAATTGGACTAAAGCTCTTCTGCCCTGTAGAAATTACAGGTACCGTATTTTCTGGCGTATAAGATGACTGGGCATATAAGATGACCCCCAACTTTTCCAGTTAAAATATAAAGTTTGGGCTATACTCGCCGTATAAGACTACCCCTCTTCCAACGCACACCAAATAAAAATTACCCAGTATACAACAACCAGCCAATTGCGGCAAGCGATGTACCTTACCGGTGATTGGCTGGTTGTTGTATTCAAAGCCTGCTTGGATTTGGTGGGTCAGCTCTCCCTGCCTGCCCAGCCCTCCCTGTCTCCAAGATGATCTGAGCGGTAGCGCAATGTGATAGAGAGCAGGGAGAAGGGGGCTGCTTCAAGGAAGTCTGTCACCTGATCTGAGCGTTTTTAGACAGCTCAGATCAGGTTATAGACTGCTTTGGCCACATTCCAAAAACCGTACCTTTATTAGTGCTGTCCCTCGCCGAGATCTTCCAAAAAAGACTTATGATGAGGTCTGGCAAGTGCCCAGGGGCAGCGTTAGTGCAGCAAGAGCAGCGCTGTGCCCAGAAAAACACGCTTCTTTCACGCGTCTGGCCCGCCCTTGCAGCACTAACGCGCCGCAGATTCTCCAGTCCGGCTCGGTAAGTTTCAGCACCCGGCATATAAGACGACCCCCGACTTTTGAGAAGATTTTCATGGTTTAGAAAGTCGTCTTATACGCCAGAAAATATGGTAGTCGTCTGTTTATGACAATTGAAACCAGAATTTCCACTGCTAAGCAAGGTGGTTGTTAAGTGAGTCGTGCACAGATTTATTATCTTTTTACTCTGGTTGTTAAGCAAATCACTTCAGTTGTTATGTGAACCATGTAGTCATTAAGTAAATCCGGTTTCCCTCATTGGCTGTCAGTCAGAAGCTGGCTGGGTAGGTCACAGATGGTGGTCATCTGTTGCTGAACATTGCAACCATCGTAAATAGGTTGCCAATTTTGATGGTGACTGTGGGGATGCTGTGATGGTCTTAAGTGTGAGAAATGGTTGCAAGTCACTTTTTTCAGTGTCCCTGTAATTTTGAATGGTCACTAAATGAATGGTTGTAAGTAGAGGACTAACTAATTGCCTGCAGAGACAACCAATGTAGGGCACATTTTCAAAGAAAGATACGATTCTCAGCATATTTTGGTCCTTTGGAGAATGAATCAGAAGGGTGTGAAATGAAATCTGCTCAAAGTTAGATATTAGTTATAGCATGATATTTGTTTATACCTTCTTTTAAATTTGGAAAATCTGTTCTTAAAGCAGGTGTCTTGTGTGCTTATACTATTTTTAAAGCACCTTGATAGTCCTCCTGTATATCATGCTAAAAATAGCATGGTGCTATGTTTGGTGGCATGGAGGATAAAGTTTTCAGCTGCAAAACAGTAGAAATGTTGTTTGCAGCACGGAGCGGATCCAACCAAGAAGAACAGAGATGGCAACACTCCTCTAGACTTGGTGAAAGAGGGAGACACTGATATCCAGGACCTGCTGCGAGGTGACGCTGCGCTGCTGGATGCTGCTAAAAAGGGTTGCCTGGCACGGGTTCAGAAATTATGCTCTCCAGAAAACATCAATTGCCGTGACACCCAGGGACGAAACTCCACCCCATTACATCTTGCTGGTAAGTGAGGCATTGGGTTAATTTATTCATAGGAAATCCTCGTTGGAACAGATTTAAGAAACTTTTAAAAATATGTATTTCTAACAATTTCGTAAGGTATTTGGTCTAGGATTCCTTCATTGCTGAGTTTTCACTCACGCTGTATTTCTTTTTGCACATAGCTGGTTACAATAATTTAGAAGTTGCTGAGTATCTTCTAGAACATGGTGCTGATGTTAACGCTCAAGACAAGGGAGGATTAATTCCACTACATAATGCAGCATCCTATGGGGTAAGCATTAATAATCTCAGTGTAGTCAAGACGTATAACTTGCATTACACTAACAAGTATAAAACAAGTGGAAGAAACGAGGGTAACCAAATAACAGCATAAAATTGATTGTATTTCAGTCTTCTACAAAATGTTGCTAAAATATGTACAAGGGGAATTGTAAGATTTGTATCGGTTGACAAAAATATTTGTAACTCAGGGTTGAATTGAAATCATTGGTGCTCTCTGAGCTTGGTTATTTTCTTGCAGATTAGATTACAGAACAACTAGGTTACAGAACAAACCATTTATATATAAACAGAGAGCAAACCCCATTCCCTTCTAGCACTGATGATTTTACTTATTTGGATAATGAAATTTCTGCAAGAAAACAACCAAATTCAGAGAACACCAAGGACCCCACAGTCTAAGATTTGTCTTGCTACTTGATTTAAAAAATAATTTCAATATCATGTTATCTCTTGGTATATATTTCTCTATTGTGAAAATCAAGACTAGATTAAATGATGTATAGATCAAAAGTTGTATCTTCTGTTTTTTGTCTTAGTTGTAATTGGTGTTAGCTTTTTTCAGTTTCTGCATAAAAAAATAAAAATGACAAATGCATCTCCCATATTAAGGAAGCTTAGATCATTGAAGAACTGAAGAAGTTGTATATTTCACCTACTGGCTAACTCGTGTGTTTCTTGCTCATGGATCTCTTTGTATAAAACTATCTAATTAAAAACATAAATTATTATGTTTTCAGTGCTGAATACATCCAGCTTTGTCATAGCTTTGAATGCACACAAATCATTTAACGATGTTTGCTTTTCTCTTTTTAAATTGAGAATTCTTTCTATTTTTTTTTTCATTTTTCCTCAGCATGTGGATATAGCAGCTCTATTGATTAAATATAATACCTGTGTAAATGCTACAGATAAATGGGCATTTACACCATTGCATGAAGCAGCACAAAAAGGAAGGACGCAACTCTGTGCTCTACTTCTAGCTCATGGAGCAGATCCAACAATGAAGAATCAAGAAGGCCAGACACCTTTGGATCTTGCCACAGTAAGTTGGTTTGGTTTGGTTTTAAAAAATAAATAATTTCAATATTTAGATCAGTTGACTACAACGGATAGTCATTTATTTCCTTCATTGACCACATTAATATAGTGAAACATCTCAATAAATGTACGGAAATGGATTTGACCTGAATCTATTCCTTTAAAAATTTCGAGGAGCTAAGGCTTTGTGTATAGTATGCTCATCCAGTGAGCAATAAAAAACATCACACAGTTTATTATACCACATTGGTTCAATATTTATTGGATATTTGCTAAGGCAGGTTAAGGAAGTATTTTTGTTTTGTGCAGATTAAATGCCTGATTTTTTAAATCCATTGCTTCATTCATACAACTTATAGTCTGTATTGTGGTTGCAAGTATTATTCAATAAATTGCTTTATTCCTTTCATTTCTATTGCTTGCACTTTATCTGTAACATCCAAAATGAAATATGTATTTTTGAAATGCTTCGCATAGGTGGACAGCTAAAAAATTTTATGTACAGAGTACATAAAACAGAACTGTCTGGGGGTAAACTATTTTGGAATATTTCAAAGTGTTGTGGAAAGTAAATGCCTTTCTAGCTCTATGTTACTGTTCCAAAGATTGATGAATATTTGCAAATATTCTTTGAATATTTGTTTTTGAGTATAGAGGATAGTTATCTGTTTAAACAATTTCTTTAAAAATGATTGGTTTTGGTTTTATTTTTTAAAACACTATTTTATTTTCAGGCTGACGATATCAGAGCTTTGCTTACTGATGCAATGCCTCCTGAAGCCTTGCCAACATGCTTTAAACCTCAAGCCACTGTTGTTAGTGCCTCAGTCATTTCACCAGCATCCACCCCATCCTGTCTGTCTGCTGCCAGCAGTATAGATAACCTTGCAGGACCTCTGGCTGAAATTGCAGTGGCCGGCGCATCTAATGCTGGAGATGGAGCAACAGGAACAGAGAGGAAAGAAGGAGAAGGTACTCTTCCCGATTATAGGAAATTTCCAAAGTCACAGTCCTAAATATGCATAATGGGAAATCATCTTCCATCCGAATTTTTGAGGAAATAAGTCTAAGGTCCTGTTTAGATCATGACTTTTAAAGCTTTGTTGGGGAGGGGGGAATCTTAACACTTGAAGAAATAGATAAAACAGATTTTCTCTTTGGAATAACTATTTTTCTGGACTTTGTCTTTTTATTTGGGACTTTAAATTAGTGAACATATAGATATTTGGTCTTTGTATATAAACTTGATTGGTATAAGGCAGGGGTAGGCAACCTTGGCTCTTTTATGACTCGTGGACTTCAACTCCCAGAATTCCTGAGCCAGCCATGCTGAGGGGAAAGGGAGAGTTTCTAAGCTGAGCCATGCTGGCTCAGGAATTCTGGGAGTTGAAGTCCACGAGTCATAAAAGAGCCAAGGCTGCCTACCCCTAGTGTAAGGCATATATAAAATTATAGTCAAAATTGTAAAAACTGTAGGTTGATGGATGTTTGGAGGGAGAAATATCTTTTGGTGTTTGTTACGTTACCAACCAGCATGAGTAGATTACTCATTTAAGTTATATAACATTAGAGAAGGAGGAGGTGGATAGAGCAGAGAAAATGGAATGTGCAGATGGTAACTTTATCTGCCACATGTAGCCCCTTAATGCTCACCAAAAGAGAAGATTTTATTAATAATGAGAATTCATACTATTTCCCATTTAAAAAAATCCCATACATTTTGGCTCTATGTCTCTTGTTTATTCTTTACTTTTTTTCCTACCAGTAGTAAAGATTTGTTTTCTTGTAGAAGATGCAATAGAGGAAATATTTCAGATTGAAAAGATTACAGTTAAAGGACTAAGGATTTAAGTGGAAATTTAGTGGATACTTTGTATTGATGACTTACATGAAGGATATTTTTGTTGTAGTTGTTGGTCTTGACATGAATATCAGCCAGTTCTTGAAAAGCTTGGGTCTGGAGCATCTCCGGGATATATTCGAAACGGAACAGGTAAAAATGGTCCTAAGCTAGTGTTGCATTTATTCTTCTATTTCAGTTCAATAATGTGCATGAAATGGAAAGATATGATGCCTAGCATCCAAAGAGCCTCATAAGCTAAGTTTTCTGTCAGAGAGCTTTGGTCTTTTATTTCTAAAGCAGTGTTTCTCAACCTTGACAATTTTAAGGCATGTGGACTTCAATTCCCAGAATTCCACAGCCAGCAATGCCTTCAAATTGTCAATTGTCTAGGTTGAGAAACACTGTTCTAAAGCAAAAACCTGACATAGTTTATGGTAAATTCACTTTCAAATAAAGCAGATGGTAATATGGTGTGAATTCTGCTTTTGTATGAATTTTAAAAAAGCTAAATGAGAAGTTATCTGGAATCAACTATTTGATGAAATTCAGTTTTACTTAAGCTGAGCAAAGCAGTTGAAGTGATACTTCAATCAGTTTATTTTTTCTTCAGCCCTAATTGCCCTCTTTTAAAAAATTCCAGGTATCAACATCTTGTATTGTACAGCATTAGTTCTACTTTGTTTCTTCCCATTTCAATTAATGTGCAAATAATTTGTTTAAGTTCTATCTTAAAAAGAAAAAAAAGGAATAAATCTTGGTGCTTACGTTAATTATCTAGCATTTTTCCATCTATTGCTTCAGCAAAGGAAGTTCAAATTACATTTTATTTTAAATCCAATGCAAACATGAATAAGTATGTCCCCATTTCTGCTCTCTGTAATTATTCTCCATGCTTGGGGGCATGAAACTAATATTATGCTGAAAGTGGAAGAGAGAGAGAAAAATGTTTAGTGCTCGCTACCAGTTATTCTTCTCCTGTCTTCAGCTGCTCCCAGTACAATTTATCTGACCAGCCATATGGGCCCTTAATCTTCCTAGGATCCCTTCCCCGTTCTTACTTAAAATATATTCAAGGTGACTAATGAAAAATGCTACTTTTTACTTCTCTCTGTGCTATTCAGATTACCTTGGATGTCCTAGCAGACATGGGTCATGAGGAGTTGAAAGAAATTGGCATCAATGCCTATGGGCATCGTCATAAGTTAATAAAAGGTGTAGAGAGGCTTCTAGGTGGGCAACAGGGTAAGTCTGCTTTAAATCTAGCAATTTTAAAATGATGGCAGTGGACAGTACTCCATCAGTCCTAGTTTTATAGTTGGTTCTTCTGGGTGAATATACGTGCATACAAGTTTAACATATTTTCCTTTTCAGGCACCAATCCTTATCTGACTTTTCACTGTGTCAGCCAAGGGACAATTCTTATAGATCTTGCTCCTGATGATAAAGAATACCAATCTGTAGAAGAGGAGGTAAAAAAAAATCAATTTTAAATAGTCTTAAAATAGGTCTTTGAATATAACACAATTGTTTCTTTGTTTGCAAACATTTCTGTACTATGTAACAGCCAGGTAGTCAAGTAATGCTAGATAACATAGTGGAAGTTTGTACATATGCAGTCTACTTTGCAGAAGACATGAAAACCCCTTAATTTCACAAAACATGGACAGATCTAATCATGTTTCAGAGATAGGAAACTGAACATCCTAGAGCAAGTTAAACCCCAAAAATGCTAGGGAATTCCTGGATGCTTGACATTCAGACAAATCAGCCATCAAGAGGCACATAGAGGTAAATCACATTTACATACCATTCAATAGGGACAAAAAAAGCTAAGGAGGAAACAAAAGCAATCAACACCCTAATAAGCAAGGATTAATATTAGACAAACAAGCAGGAAACAGCAGCATGACCAAGGAACTAACAAGGAGTAAGCAACAACTCATCAACATTGACAGGGCAAGCTACTGTATTTATTTACTACCGTATATGCCGGCGTATAAGGCGACTTCCGCAAGCGCTAAAATCGGCGCCAAAGACAGGGGTCGTCTTATACGCCGAGTCGTCTTATATGCCGGAAATACTGGTAGTTTCCGGCGTATAAGACGACGTTCTAGGAATGCGGCCCGGCGACAAAGACGGGGGTTGTCTTATACGCCGGGTCACCTTATACGCCGGCATATACGGTAAATTTATATGCCACCCTTCTCAGTGTTACAGCAATTCTGGGTGGCTTACAGGATAATAAAAAGTGAAAAAAGTAGTACAAAACAATTAAAATTAGAAAGATTAAATAAGAAACAAAAATCAAGAGGACAGATGACATAAGGATGGGAATCTTCTCTCTACCCCAGCAACTACTGCCAGCCTAGAACACCCCTATAAAACTCCACTCCGTTCTAGCATTGGAGATTTAGTTGGGTAACTAAATATCTGCAAGCAGACAACCAAGGTCAAAGGTCACCAAGGACTCCACAGTTGACTACCAAGCTACAGGTATTCTCTTCTATTGGTAGCGTAGTCCAGGACAGAGCAGCCAGGATATACAAAGAGTGGAAATCTAGGGTGGAGGTTTGTCACATCTTTGACTCGCTTTCATACTAGAAGAACATTCTTTTTTCACGTAGGGATATATTTTTGCTTACATGTATTCTTTGCATATTGCTAGAATGAATGCGGCATTATGGTTTATTTCAGTTCCTCTGCCTAAAAAGGCTTTGCAGTGTGAAAAGTTTAGAATTTTATGGAAGTATTACTTTCCCTCAGTCTGAAGAGATCTTACATGCCTCTTTCTATTTCCTGTACTTAAAAAGAAACCCCTGTTTAGGATAGCTTGCATTCAGGGTTTCATGCAATAGATATCATTAAATGTCTACCGAAAGCAGATGGGGAAACTGGGAATTTCAGCAGACGGGGAAAAGTGTAAACCTTTTTCCCTTACATCTAGTCCCAAGCCCACTTACCCAGTGATAGTTCTGTTTAGAAGGACTTTATCATGTGTAATTTGCTTTTTTTTTTCCTAAAATCTATCTATGCTGATTATACATGATGTGCAGATTGAGTCTTGAGAGTTGACCAGAGGCAGAAATAAATCAGGAATGAAGTCTTGCTATCACCGAGAGAAGCCAAATTGCACAACTAGTCTCATACAACCCAACATTTGAAAGAGTCTCTCTCTTTATGAGTCAGAAGGTGGCAGCACCCAGCCGATGTCCTCTGCACTTGTAAGCTAAGCGAAGTCAGCCCAGGCTGGCTGGCTGCTTGGATGGGACACTTTCAAGGAATACGAGGCCATAAGTTAAATGTGGAGGTGAAGAAACATAACAGAAACAGTGCAAACCTCTTTCTTGTTGTAATCAAGAAACACACATGGATTTATACAGAGGTGTGCTGAATAGGATAATAACAAGTTTGATAATGAGGTCCCAAGGGAGTGTGAGTATTTGAGGAACACCCTAGGGAAGTTGGGCTGATGCACTGCTGCCTAGCAGCATTAATCATTCTTATCTTGCTTGACTGACTTGGTTCCAGATAAACAGCAGGACAGAGAAAGCCAGACAAACAGGATGTCTTTGTTTTTCCAGACCACCACCAAGAGAATACTGTTCTCTCTATCCCCCCCCCCTTTTCCTCCCCCACAGTCTTTGATCGGAATGTCCTGGTTAATTTATTGACAGCCCATCTGTACTTGTCTATGATAAACCCAAATTTAAATTGCATATTGGCAGCATGTACCTAGATTTATCCAAGAATTGTTATCAACTAAATAAGATTTTATGTTTACTGACTCTACCATTTGATTGTTTAACAGATGCAGAGCACCATCAGGGAACACAGAGATGGTGGTAATGCTGGGGGAATCTTCAACAGGTATAATGTCATTAGGGTAAGTTTCAAAGGCTTTAAATGCCTAGCTCAAAAATTATTGATGGAAACAACAAATCAATTGATCCCAGCAGAAGGAAGTAGGGATGATACTGTGTCTTCAGCTTCCTGATTTTGAAGCTCTTTTGACTATCATCTAAGGTGGGCAAAGCATTTGAAAGAGATGCTTTACAAAGTACATTAGTAATGGCCTTTTTGCTGAAAACGAATAAAAATGAACTGGTGATTTCTGGATTTACCAATGTAAAAGGGCTGTATGGGGAGAAGGGAACTATGTTATATAATTTTGAAGAGGGGAGATTGTATTAAGCATATCTATAACTGCTGCAAAGAAAATTAGAAATCACTTTATGTATTCTTTATCCTTCTCTTTTTCTTTGCTCTCGATTGTTTCCAATACCTTCTTCTTTATCTTTCTTTTTTCTTCTATATATGTTCATGTTTATCTTTTATCTTTGTAAAAAAAATACTTAATATAAATTATGTGTGTGTATGTGTGTGTGTGTGTGTATATATATATATATATATATATATATATATATATATATATATATACATACGTATACATACAAGTACATCACAAGTGCATTAGCATACATACATACATACACACAAGTGCATTAGCGCAAGCAAAGCTAGTCTCTTTGAAGCACCAAAGCAACTTCACCCTTTGCATATTTGTGCAGCTGCTGCAAAGGCTGTTCTCGCATGTCTGCATGTACATGCACAGATCCTACGTCTGTGGAGCCAGGCAGCCAAACAAAGGCAGCTTTTGAAACAACTGCACCAGCCCTCTTGGAGGATAGCTGCTTTGTTTATACCAGGGGCCTTCAAACTTGGCAACTTTAAGACTTGTGGACTGCAACTCCCAGAATTCCTCAGCCAGCCGTGGCTGGCTGAGGAATTCTGGGACTTGAAGTCCACAAGTCTTAAAGTTGCCAAGTTTGAAGACCCTTGATTTATACTAACATCCACCACAGCTTGGAAGACTGCACATTTCAATCACTTTTCATCTCCCTAGTGGCTTTAAAATATTAAATCTTAAATTATTATTTTAAACAGTAAATGTAATATACATATGTACATTATGTACATATGTAATACATAATTTTTATTATATTTTATATTGTCTTCTTAAACTGATCAGAATAAAAAAAAGACATGTGTATGGGGATTTTTTTTACTTATCTACAAAGCCATCAAATTTCTAGTTCAGGTTCTCCCTCATTTTTATTTTATTTTTATTTTATTTTACTTATTTCATTTCAGTTAGAATAGGAGTGCTTTTTGCATTTGATTCTGCTGTCTTTCAAAGGGGCAGTTACAGTAGTGTTCCGTTTTCCTACTTACAAGCAATTCTGCTCTGTTCTTTCAAAATATGTGCAGTTTCGGTCAAGAACAAATATATTTTACTCGTAGTGAGTAAGTGAGCAACTTAATTTTATCCAAATTGTGGAGTTCTTAGTGATCTTGTGTTTGTTGTTTGCTTGCCGACATTTTATTACCTGATTAGGTAACATCTTCAGTGCTAGAAGGGAGTGGGGATTGATCTCTCTTCTAGCACTGAAGATGTTGCCCAGTCAGGTAATGAAACATCTGCAAGCAAACAATCAAGCTTACAGAGCACCAAGGACTCCGCCATTCAACCCTGAGCTATATATATTATTTTCTCTTTATTCTCTTCTGTTTATCCCAGTTATATTCATGTAGTTAACAATCTGATGATATGAACTTTGTAGGGAAGGATAAGCATTATATACTAGATTTGTTAAGAATACAGTAAAGATACAGTGCATAAAATATAGTTTTAAAAAGAGAAACAAATTGGAGTGATGTGATATTCTGTGGTAAGTATGAGACTTTAGTTAAATTATATCCATTTCATAGTTTGGAGAAAAATTGAGCTACTTGAGGTTGCCTGAGATGCCTGAACTTCTGTTTGTAGGTATATTTGTGAGCCTTACTAACAGAAAACAAAGCTGTCAAAAAGAAGGAGCAAATTAAATTAGCCTTTAATTATTCTGGTCATCATTACTAAAACTTAAGTTTTTTAAAACCACAGAATCCATTTTAAAAATGATGCAGTTTATAAAGTCATGCTGACTCAGGCTTCTGTACTTTTATCTTCATGGTGGATTTTTTTTTTTTCATTCTTCCATAGATTCAAAAGGTTGTGAATAAAAAACTAAGGGAAAGATTTTGTCATCGTCAGAAAGAAGTCTCAGAAGAAAACCATAATCATCACAATGAACGCATGTTATTTCATGGTATGTAAGGCAGCCCTCTAAGATGTGTATTTGCAGAATAACAACACTGGTTAAATGTGCATAAATTGTACTTTGGTTTATTTACCATTCTGCTGTTTGATTGATTGTGGATTCTGGATTCAGCTCCAAGAAGCCAAAATGGACCTTTGGCTGATTTTTCATACCTTATCAGTACAGGTGTGCTACTCCTTCTATAAGACTCTAGAGCATTTTCCAGCTCCTCAAAGAAATGGGGAGAAGTTTATGACGAAAGAGAAGGAACATGGTAGAAAAGTCCTGCTGTGAAAGCAGTGTTCCCTTGTGGAGGCAATTCTATCATGACCAATGTTTTGTTCAGGTTTTTTTTAATCCCATCTCATAAAATGTGATAAAGATGCAGGTCAGGAAAAGTACAAGAGAGGCAAGCCAGGCAATCCATCCTTCTCCACAGATAGAAAAAGGAATCTGCCAGTCATTCAGAGAATCTTTAAGTGTATGTTGCTTAGCAATAAAAATGATTACGTTCCTAGATGCAATTGTGCTGCAATTGCTTCCTATTAGAAAAAAAATCATAAACCATACATCACGGCTGCTGTCTTTACTATGTGCAAGGAATTGAACAAAGATTCTCTCTTTTCTGAGAAACCCAACCCAACTTCTCCAGTACGCTTAATATTAACACATGTCACTAAGTACTGGTGTTATCTCAACCCTTACATTAAGATAGGTTTTTCTGTCTTTGGGAAAAAATTAAGAGGGGGAGGTACGACATTTTCCTTAAATATATGGAAATTGTTTTCTTGAAAATCCACTGAATCTTCAGAATTCAGAATTTTCTGTCAGATTTTCCTTGGTTTATATCAGGGGTCCCCAACCTCTAGACCAGGGATGTCAAATTGCCGGCCTGCGGGTCGGATGCATCATGCCGAAACTGCGCCCACTCCATTGCTGGCAATGGAAAAAAAGTCACGATACATCGTGACACGTCACGTGACGTTGCAACTTTGACTCCCCTGCTCTAGGCTGTGGCCTACTAGTGGACCATGAGCTGTTTGCAACCGGGCTGCAGAAATGGCGGGTGAGCACACGCGCACTCACATCCCCATTTGTGCAAGCAGCGGGCAAGTGCGTGCACACACACTCCATTTGTGTGAGAGGCAGGTTTGTGTGCACGCCACTTGCCCAAGTGGATCTTGCTTGCCAGCTGCTCGTGCAGAACAGTCCCCTCTTCCCCCACTTGTCCGCAAAGCCAGAAAGGTTGGGTAACTCTGATTTATTTATATGATTGAACGTGGATTAATTATTTTGCTAATTTGATGTTAAGATGAAGTTACCATTCCTATAGGGCATGTACATGTTTACATGCTATGTTTTGTTTTAGGCTCTCCTTTTATTAATGCTATTATCCATAAAGGATTTGATGAAAGGCATGCTTACATTGGAGGGATGTTTGGAGCTGGGATTTACTTTGCAGAAAATTCCTCCAAAAGTAACCAATACGTATATGGAATTGGAGGAGGCACAGGCTGTCCTACGCACAAAGATAGGTCCTGCTATATCTGCCACAGGTGAGTTCTTGATACATTGATACATCTGGAAAATCAGGTATGTTTCCTTAACTGAATGAATGCCAAATTAGAGGAAAAATTAGAAAAAAGACAGCACACGTTTCTTAGTTTTCTAGCTTGGAAAAATATGAATGCTGAAATATGGATACTCCATAGCCTCTAGGAGGCTTCTGCAAAGTCAAACATGGTTCAGAGAACACAAGAATAAAACACAGTTTTTATTGCAACAAGTTGAATGACAAAAATGCAAACTGGAATGGCTTGAGGACCAGTTATTTGCTATCACTTACTTAGCCATGCATGCATTTGTGGAGAAATTGTTAGTTTTTCTGAAGTAGCTCCTGAATTGTGATTAAAACCATAGTAACATGGCCCTAAGAGCTGATGATTAAGCAAAAAGGAAAATTCCACTTTTTTACTGCTTTAAACAATGTTTGAGAGTTGAAAATTGATAGGTTGTAAAAAAACTTTAGATCTCTGACATTGTGGTGGTGCGTATGAAATGTTTTGCTGCAACTGGGTGCGCTTTTTAAATTATTTTCTTCCTATCTTCTTTCAGACAAATGCTTTTTTGCCGTGTGACATTGGGAAAGTCCTTCTTGCAGTTTAGTACCATGAAAATGGCCCACGCCCCTCCAGGGCATCACTCTGTCATTGGCAGGCCAAGTGTCAATGGACTCGCCTATGCTGAGTATGTCATCTATAGGGGGGAACAGGTAGGTGGCATATGAAAATTATCCATAAAATGAAAATCTTTTTGAAGACACATTCAAATACTGTGCATAAGGTCAGCCACGCCTTCATAAAAATACATTACTGTGTTCAAAAAAGCCAAGCAAGCTATAGAACAGTGGTTCTCAACCTTTGTGTGACGGCGACCCCCATCACACGGATGCATCGCGCATGCGCGGCGCCGCCCCCATGCGCATCATGCACGCGCGGCAGCGCCCCCTGAGAGGGAAAAATGGCGGATCGCGTTGTTTGGCGACCCCCGTAAAATGGTCGTTCGACCCCAAATGGGGTCGCGACCCATAGGTTGAGAACCGCTGCTATAGAAGAATGGATGCTTAAAGTGTCAAATTTAGCAGAAATGGCGAAAATTTCTGCTTACTTGAAGGATCATTCACAAGAAAGATACATTTCAGTCTGGAGAAGATGGATAGATTATATTCAGAATAAATATGGGACTAAAAAGTTCCATCTAGTTTATGAGTAAATTTTAGAGTATTATTATTATTAATAGTTTATTATAGTAGAATTTTTATTAGTTTTATTATTATTTTTAGTATTAGTATTGTTAACAATTTGGATATTGTATTGTTGAATAACATTGACTTGTTTATATTATTATGTTTATTTTTAATTTGTTTATACCTATGTTAAAGGGGAGTTAAAGCGCATTATGGACTTGGTTATTTATATAGTTGGTTAAAGATAGTTAGAGTTTGATTATTATATTTGTAACCCTGTACTCAGTTCTGGGAAGTGGGGGAGGGAGAGGGGGGGTTTAGGGTGGGTGGGTTTTGGGGTGTATACTGTAATTTTTATAAAACTTTTCAATTTAAAAAAAAAGTTAAGCAAGAAATACAGCCTTATCAAAGGTCCCTATTCAGCCACTGAATTTTCCTCCAGAACAATATGCACCCGTGATTTGTGGTAGACTACTGGAGCAGTACTGTACTCTGTAAAAAATAGTAGCTCCTGCCTTCAGAAGGACATCCTTAACACTTTCTGAAAATTAGAAAGTGATTTTCAAGCCGTTCTACTCATCAAAATCTAGGAGAGTGCTTAATTGTTTATATTAGGGCTGATGTGTCACACTATATCATACTTTCGTCATACTATGAAAAGATCTCATTTAAGCTCTTGTTTAAATGTTGATTTAGACTGTGAATTATGCTTCCCAAACTTTCATCACTTTCCATGCCATCTCCTTTCTCCAGAGGAGGAAAGGAACAAGCATGGCAGAGATCCATTTGCAAATGGATAAAAGTCCACATCAGATACACAGAGTTTGAATACTGTCTGGTGTAATTCCTACAATAGACTTAACAACAACAACAATACTTCTTCCCAAAAATCAGACAAAAAAAAATTGCTTCCATCAATTAGACATCATTGCCTCACCTACTGTGGCCTTTGCACTCCCTAAAAGTGTTCAGTGCAGTTTTTGGTAGAGTCAGTTTCTCTTCATACAATACTTAGGAAGATATCAGATGCTGACCTGGGCTTTTATACATCTTTTCTGTCCCATTAGAGTATGCCATTTTTCCCCAAATGAACAAGTGAAAAGGCAGAATTTCTATTTGAAGCCATGGAAAAGTATCTGTTCTGCATAACATGACAGATATTAAATGGATTGTGTTAGAAGCAAAAATAAAAGAGAATTGTGGTTCTTAAGACAGAAGTAATATAAAAATTAAGTAAAATGAACTTTTTCTGGTTTTTTAATTATTTCTGTATAACGTGCAGTAATTTGGGTGTATCTGCTTATTCGTAGGCTTACCCCGAGTATCTCATTACATACCAAATTGTAAAGCCAGATACTCCTTCACAGACAGCGGTGGCTGCGGAACAGAAGACCTAGTAGATGCTGGTTCATTGAAGTAGATTACGTGACTTATGTACTGGATGGTTGAGATTAGTTTCAAAACATCAACATTCTATGGAATTCTCATCATTCTGGAACTGCTTTATGTGTTTTATAAAGCATTGCTCTGTAAATGAATCTGAGTACCTGATCTGTACTCAGTTGCTACTATTCCTTTTGAGGAAATGTTTACGAAGATTTGCCTTTTAACATCCTTTCTCAGGCTCACTTTCCCTGCAGTTGCCATGGGTGTAATGAGAGCATCACTGCTTCAGTATGGATATATGGAAACGTAGTTTGTAGTGCTGCGCTACAACTCCTTTGAAAGAACAGCAGCGAATTCTGATGCAACAGCTGTAGTGAAGTGCAGAGCTTCTATTGAACCCATGCCATCCCCTCAGCATTCAAGGCTGTTTTTTCTTTTTAGAAGTCTTTAGTCAGTTATTTATTTTCACTTTATTCTTCTGTTACAAAAATGAGCCAGACCCTCCTTGAGGATGTTTTTGCACAAAGTCAAGTTGACTAAAATCACTTAACAATGCAATAGGAATTTCTTATCCAAGAAGGTGTTAGAGATACAGTTCTTTGGTCTGGGATTCTTTTTGCACTTTTATGAACTCTTTCATGTTGCTAGGAACATAATTTTAAGGTAGAAGCCCTGCTTTATTCCTACCAAGTTTCTCTTTCTTTATAAGGTGTTCATACTATAGCATCCATGTAGCAGTTTCTTTGGAAAATGGTCTCTGTTCCTCTGTTTTGCTTCCTCGTGTCTAATATTCCAGTATCACGGTTTGAAATGTGTCTTAATAAAATGCATAGGAAATACTTGTTGGATGAAACTGTATAGACACAGGATCCCAGTTTTCTCTCTGCCCTTGCTCAAGTGAAGTTGTAAACAAGTTAGTGAAATTCCTCAAGGTCAATTGAACTTGATATCTTCTGTTGGTATTTGTTCTGGGGCTTTTTAAAAATATTTTCATCAGATAATGAACAGCAAGGGAGCAGAGCTGTGAGTTAGAAGCCTAGTCTAATTCTACATGTATGAGTATAGTCCAAAAGGACCATTTTTTTTTCACAAAGGGCCTATTAGACTATAAAAATTGAGTGTAGAGCTTGCTTGAAGCCCTTTTTCCTTCAACAAGAATAACTCTTTATATTATGTCTGGATTCATTCATAGGTTGAACACCATGCAAATATCCTCCCAACACCTTATACTCCCCTCCCAGTAGACTAATTAGACCAGTTAGGCTGGTTATATTAAGGAGTTTATATATATATTTGTATTATTGCAGAAGACTGCTACTTAGTTTCTAATTGATTTCTATCCATTAAACTCATTCCCCCCCTGATTTTCTTTGTGGCAATTCCACTTACATATCACCTTGTCATCATCATTAATATCAAAAATCTACCAATAAAAACAATCTCCCTCCCACCCACCCCCTACCCCCCAAAACCCATCATTTTCAAACCGATGACTTTCAGGGAAAAGTAGTAGTAGAGATCTATAAGTAAAATATATAATGGAGAGAGACGGCAATATTGCTTTGCAAAACTTTTGGTAATTAAAACAGCCAAAGAAAATTGGCTTGCAATATGGTTCTTATGTGGGCATTTTTTTAATTCCTTGAAAGTAAAGGTATTATAGTATGAAATCTACTGGCATCTGCTTGGAAATGGGCAACGGTCTTACCTGATGAACAAAGCCACCACCAAAAATCTTCCTCCAAAGATATTTCTAATATATATTAGAAAAATATATCGAATGCATATTGGAATGATGTACGGTTTACAAAAAAAAGTCATGTAAACATTTGTCAGATTCAGTATTTGATCCAGGAGACAAAACAAGGTAACTTGCTGTGAATCTTTCAGTTGTGCTTCTGTTGTTTGAGGTGACTCAGTCTGCCTGGGTTTCTCAGCATGTGATGACATAAGGCCCAAACTCACCAAGATCTAAAATAAATATCTTAAGTTTGGAAAGGATCCAGATGATGAACATTCACTTAGAAACCTCTGTTTTTAAGCACAGCTCCGGGCAAAGTGCTAACTATGGTTGAATTGCAAATAGATGTGAAAAATCTACATTTTGACAACTTCACGTGGATACGAATTAGGACTCGGCTGTTTTTCATATTTAATTCAAATGGTTAACATGGATGTGGAAGCCTAATGTTCTTTTTCTCCAGTAAGAGAGAATATTGATTCTGTGCTTGTCTTTTTCCTCCAGTGTGATGGTTAATCTAATGAGTAATTTAAATCCTAAATTCTGAGAATCTGAAATTGCTCCTGTTTTATAACATGTTTCGTGTAGACTAAAAGGTGCTGTCCAAGGAATTCCATTTTCAGGAATTCCATTGTCTTGTAGTAATGTGATTTTTGTTACTCCTTTCTGGTCAGACTTTGAAAAATGGTGATCTAAAAATCTAATAAGGGGCATCCTAAAAAAAAAATTGCACACATAGCATTTAATGTCATTCAGTTAATGTTCCCACATGCAGGAGTTGAGAGTTGCTGCAAAGGACTTGTACACTTGATTCTGAACTATATTTCTTTGGCATAAGACTTAAACTAATATATTCAGTAGATTATCTCTCAATATGTTCTGAATAGAAAACCTGAAAAGTGATTTGGTCATATGTGTGCCACAGTCTTCAAAGTAACAAAAGTGGTGTTAGCCTTAAATAAATTACATTTGGGGCTTTCTTCAACCCACTGGTGTAAAAAATCCCAACCACATCAAGAGATAATAAGATGCCATAAATATGGTGCCATTCATTGGTCTTGTCCCACTCTGAGAAATATGTATAGGTTGAGACTTTTTCAGACATTAAATGTAACAGGCTTAATGTCACAATACAGTGTTGGATATAACCATAGAGCATTATCTACGTGGGCTTGATTCTAGCACTTGTAACCATAATTAGGAATTTTAAGCATCCTGATCATTTGTGAAGGTTACACCTAGTACAAATAGCAGTAAATCTGCTTACAGTAACATTTAGTTTTGAAAGGGATTCTACAGCCAATTCATTGATGAATATGTTTATATAATGTATGTATTTGCAACAACACATTTGTTGTATTACATGTTTAGGTACATACCTATAAATATAAATTGGTGAATAATCTGTTGAGCATTTTTTTTTAAATTACAGTCCTGGGAGTTGGGAAATGGGGTTTACAGCTATGATAATGTTTTTGGCTATTTTTGATTGGCCTAATGTCACATGCCATTGTGAGGAGAGGGGGAAAGGAGGCGAGATTGGGTATGCTAATAGCTACTTTATGCTTTATTTATTGCTGCAATTTGCAAAAAAGAAATAGATGTAGAATTTGGCTTTTTCTCTAAGATAACCATTTCATAGAAGAAACAAAGGATGGAGTGGTCTCATAGTTGCTCTCTCAGCAGACAGTCATAGAAACTGGGGGATAGAAATGGAATAAAGAGGTTTTTAAAATAGCCATCAATTAAAAAATACAGCATATTTTAAAATTTCCATCCATTAAAGCCTATGGATTCTCTGAATACATTATTCATAGCTCTAAAGTGCAAAATATATTACAGCTTTGTTTAGAAGTCCCAACCAATTCAAAGATGGTACTTTATGAATATAATCTCTTAGACTATTTTTATGCAGTGTCCAAACCATGGGATATTTGGTTTCAAGGGTTTTGCATGTTTTTGATTTAAATAAGGTTCAATCTTTGTCCACAAACCTGGAAAATCTTGGGAATGGTCATTTTTATTGTAGTGTAATCCTCAGCATTCTTGAATGTCTGACATTTCATCGTGGATTGCTGTCTGCCACGGTGATATTCCAGTAGTAATAGTTTTTTTTTTTCCTTCTGGGACCATTATCTGTCAATGTCGGAAATGACAAATGACAATATTAAACAGATACGAGAGAAGATTTTATTTTCCAAAGATGGGCAAATGCTGTTTTTAGAATGAAGAGGCAGAATTTCCAGATTGGAATCTCCAGCAGTTTCATTGGAGATCTATGAGCTGATATAATGAATGGTTGTAGTGTGCAGACTTGAATTGGGGTGGATATTCAGACCAATTACTGCAGCTGTGTGTTCTGCAATTTTATCCATTGTAGGCCAAGCAGCAGTTCCAAGAAGGCAATTTTGAGTTAGGAAATGTCACAAAGAGAACAATTTGAAGGATTTCCCCTACTTGCAAAATGAAAAACTGGAGTGTTAGTTCATGATCTTCCATGATACATGTTTCCGCCCTTAAAGAATCAATTGAATAAATGCAGGGATGACTCAACCAGTAGATAGAAGATTGAGATTTAAAGGACAACAAATCACCAGCTATTTGTTTTCTCTCATTACGGTGGGAGAATTTTCTGCCCTAGGCAGCAAAACATTTTCAATTCCATCTGCCTATTAAAATACTAAATTTTGTCACTGAAAAATTTGATTTTTACATATGCCTTTAACTTGATGTACATGCATGACGTCCTGATATCTCTTATTTTAATACTATTTTCTTAGCTCTTTCCTCCAAGTCACAACTGTATATTATTGTATCCTGGTGTGACTAAGACACAACTACATAAATAATGAGCCAAATGCAGTCTGTCGAAGCATGTTCTTATGGCAGCATAAAGCATATACAAAAATGTACCATTTGAACTCTAGTTGCTGTTTACAAGAATGAAGCCAACATGCAAAGTCCACTACTGGATTCCATCACCTTGAAGGCCTGACTACACAACTGCAATGATTCTTGTGATCCAAAGTTCTTCATGGGTAGCATCTGTGTATGGGGTATTGTAAATGTGGACCAAGCCACTGAGTTTGCTATCTGCGACCACCCTTAATGCTGATTTGTCTTGCAACTATGTATGGTAGTTCATGAGGTTGCAATCTAATATGGAAGAGTTAACATTTCTAATATTTCCATACACTACATCAGGGGTCCTCAACCTTGGCAACTTTAAGACTTGTGGACTTCAGCTCTCAGAATTCTGAGAGTTGAAGTCCACAAGTCTTAAAGTTGCCAGGATTGGAGACCCTTGCACTACATGATTGCAGCCTCTTATGGGAAAGTATAACAAAGCATTCCACCACCAACTGTCCAGCTGATTCTTTTTAAACAAGGATATAAACTATGTCTGCAAAAGAAACTTCATTTTTTCTGGAGACCTTATTTTCAGAATTCAAATACAACCGTAAACCATAATGAGGTTTGTTTGTTTTTAAATTACTGTAACACAAAACATAAACTCATCAACCATGGTTCATTTCTTCGGTGCATTCATATAGTGTTCTAAAACTAAGAGTATATCTTCAGCATTTTCTAATAACTTCTCAGTATTTTTCAGCCAATAGAAAAAAGATTTACATATGCTGTACTTTTTTTTCATAGCTATGGAAAAATATGGAATAGAATTGGAACTGCCTGTCTTCCTAATGGTTGAATCTCCATTAAAACATAAGTTTGTAGATTACAAATATTTTAGTGAGAGCAAAACAATCAGAATTTCTTGATTTGAAAACAGAGCTTTGGTGGTACTTGTTTCTTGGGTACCCCCCCATGCCAAAATTATATCAAATTATTAAAAAAATAGATAAAACAGTAACAATTGGTTATGTAGAATAGAATAGAATCATGTATATTTGTTCTATTTATACAATTTATACTTGGTGCCAGATGTTAATAAGGAAAATGAATAATACATAATTGTGGCTTGCACAAGAATTTTGTGATGTAGTTTCCTTCATGCTTTATTAGATGGGAGAAACATGAGGCATACTAAATAATTGAGAACAGTTTTCAAAAAAGTAGCTGTACAACATCTATTGTATCAAAGCAAAGTCTTGTAGCAGCTTAAAGGCTAACAAATAATTATAGCATTTGCTTGTTTTTGGAGCAGAAATGTTCCCTAAAAGTTTGTGCCCTAATGTAAGGCATATTTTCCTCTTCCTGTCTTCCATTCATGTTTCTTTTAGTCTGTAGGTTTGAAGAAAAAAAAAGACAAAATATGCATCTAAACAAAAATATGTGTATACCACTACCATTTTGTAATTTATTAATCATAAAATAGATGTTTTTGTGTACTGGTTCTGCGGAAAAATAGTTACTGGTAAAAGGTTTTAAAGGCTTGTTTATAGTGCAATTTCAACAATATTTTTTAATTTATTTGTAATGCCTTCAAGACTTCCAGCAAGTTTTCAGAATTGGTGACTTTGTTTATATAGATTGATGGCTACTGCAAAAAAAAACCCCACCCTCTTTAAATCATTTTGGCACCTCATTTATTTTCATAGGCATTAAAATACTAGCTTTGCATTTTGAGAATAATCTTGTGTAACTTGCTTGCATAGCTAGCCTTGTATTCTTGATTTCTTTTGGCAATAGAAAAACATGAAGTCTTGGTATGGTTTCTTCATTGTCTGTGAGTTGGAGTTGGTTATTTCCCTTTTTTTTCTTAAGAGTTAGGTTCTCTTAATTTACCAGTGTGATGGAATTTTGCAAAAAGCCAATGTAACAACTGAGTTAGCTTTTGTGCTTTCACTTAATGTCAGACATATAGTACTTGTGACAGAAAAGAATCAATAAACACTCCTTTTTTAATACTTGAACATTTGTACTTTTACTATGACATGGAACCATTCTCCTGTAATTGTAGTAGTAGTGTTGGTCGTGATAGCAGTCGAGATTTCCTTCCTAGCTTTCTGCCGTATTTCATCTTAACCTCTTCAAAATGCCTTTTGTTCACCCTCCGCACAGATAGACACAGTGTGTATTTTAGTGTATCTTGTACTTGAGCAAACTAGAAATACATCTGGCCATTATATAAACCAGGGGTCCCCAACCTCTGGGCTTTGGCCCAGCACCAGGCTATGGCCCGTTCAGAACCAGGCCGCAAAAGTGGCAGATGAGTGCATGCAGCTTCACTTGTGTAAGCGATGCACATGTGCCCACACCTGCCACTCTCAGAAAACCATCCCCTTCCCCCAGTAGTCCGCCAAGCCAGAAAGGTTGGAGACCACAGATATAAACCATCTTTTTATCATCACGTTTCCCTATAAACTTGTTCCACAAATAAAAGTGAAATTGTATCTTGCTTACTTGAGAAAGGTGGGAAATAAATTTACAAAATGCCTAAAATCAATCTCCAGTGGGCCTGCAGTCTACAAAAACATTGTTAGAATCTACCTAAATTCTCTGCAAAGTGTCACTCAAAAGCATGTTTTTGACACTATCCCCTTTTAAATAGGAAAAATAAAAATACCCCTGGTAGTAGGAAGGTTTGAATGCAGAAACTAATGCATGTGGCCCTCAACTGACAAGCACAATTGAGCCCAAACGTCCTGTTGCTAAAGCAAGATAGTTAAGTGAGTTTTGCCCCATTTTACAACCTTCCTTGTCACAATTGTTAAGTGAGTCACTGCAATTAAGTTGGTAGCACAGTTGTTAAGTGAATCTGGCTTCCTGATTGATTTTGCTTGTCAGAAGGTCACAAAAGATGATCACATGACTCTGGGACACTGCACCCATCATAAATACACAAAAAGAATGAATGAGCCTTTTAATTATGAAAGGTAACCACAGCTGAAAATTTATTTCAACTAATTATCAAGCAATAAATTAACATAGTCACAATCTAAAAAAAATACATGCATTTTAGACATCCTATATAAAATATACACAATTGGGCTGAGTCTGATATCAAAAACTTTTGACTGAAGGGTAAGCCAAGTTATGTTCAAAGGGGTGTGCAAACTTCCCATATTGTACCCACAGGAGACAGAACCTGCAAGATAACTGCCTATGAAAACACTCATCCATAGGCACCTGACGTGCTACAGTAAAAACAAGCTAATTGTTAAGGAAGTCAAAGATCTCTTCAGGGTAAACTCTCCCAAGCTATATAATCATCAAGGAGCAAAACATGAAACCATTCTATTCTGAAAGACTAGTTTAAAGTGTAGAAGATTCACGTGGCTATCTTTGGCATAACGTGATGGGTCCAATTTGGGGTGGGGAGAGCAATGCGGGGCTGGAGAAAGGCTAGGTGCTTTTCATTGAGTCTAGCCCAATTTTACAGAGGATATACCTCAAAAGAAATGCGGGTTACATCCCAGTAGGAATTGCATGTTTTGCTCAAAAGTCCTTAAAATTGGCTTCAGCAGTAAAATGGAGAAGTTTGATCTGACCAAAAAGGTATATCCTTGCTATCTAGAAAAAGGAATCTTACAGGTTGGCATTTCTCTTGAAGAAAAATAACTCTCTACATGCTCTTTCTGTTAAAGTTGCTGTAAAGGTCTCAACTTTCCACATTATGTAGGATTCCTGGGGAGGGAGAGGGCAACACTTACATCCTCTTTGAGGATCCACATGAAGAATTATTTTATGGAGCAGTGTTGCTCAACCATGGTAAATTTATGAAATGTGGGCTTCAACTCCCAGAAGTTCCCAGCCACTATGCCTGGGGAAGATTCAGCCTTTCCTAACTGGATTGTCATCAAATATTCTATTACCCTTAAAAGTTGGCTATACTGACTGGAGCTTATGAGACTTGAGTATCTTCAGGAACTCACTTGTTGGGGAAGGCTACTTGGAAGCCATCTTTACTCTGGCCCCACACAATAGGATATCGCTTTCTTCCCTGATGTCTCAAGACACTAAACCGCTTGGCATGCAGAGATCTGCTGTGTTAGGTGAAGAAGAAAAGAACATATTTGTGCATTTGTGTCAGAGAAACCTGATTACTATTAGTCAGATGACACAAAAGGCTTCCTGCCCAGAAAGACGAGAAACAAGGACCACAAGTCACTAACTTAGGGCTGATCAAGTTATCACACCAGAGTGGCATAAATAGGAACCAAGAACTCAATATAAACATGAACAAAGACCTTGCTCAAGAGGCAAAAGGTGGGAGGAAAAGCATTTCCAGATTTACTGGCATTTCCCAAGTTGTCTCCAAAAAAATAATATATTCCCTATGCTTCATAAATCCAAATTCCATTATTTTTTTTCATTTTAAATTGGTTTCAGACCCATGGAATCTGAAAGTCACTTCACAGTGAGCCTTCAATTCTTCTCCCTTTCTTTACCCAAAACCTCGACTTAGCAAAACAGGTGGTGTTTTGCTAAGGCGAGGTTTTTGCTAAGCCAAGGTGTCATTCCAATCAAGAATTCCAAAAACCAGGCACTTTAATAAAACACGATCCACCCTTGGGGTAGCTGAAAGCATATGCAAAGTGGTCAGATGCAGGCACTAGGAGAATGCACATTTCAAAACCAGATTGGACCCGGTGTTTTGGACCTTGTCTAAACCCAAGACTTCTTGTGCATCCATTAAAGCAGCCCTTCATTCTGGCTTCAAGCAAGCTTGATCAAAAGATGCAAGTACTTTTAAGAGCTGCTTTATTTAATGCAACTATTGCTCCACGCAGAAGCCTGAAAAAGACAAGAGAGAGGCTCTGCTGACATAAGACCAAAAAACTTCCCTTCCCAAATCATTTTTGAAGTGTGCCCTGTCCTAGCAGATCCTTCACACATACGCCAGGTACTCCAGCCTGCTCCCTCTCTTATTTGCAGACGGTAGATTCATGCTGGCTGAAAATTCTGGAATCTGTACTCCAAAATATTGGGAGCACTTGCTCAGAGTAACACAACAAAGCCTGGTGTTCAACCGCATTCAAGCCTTTGACTTTCTTTTGTCTTCTCCCTACCCAGCACCCAAAAACATTATCAGGACTTTAAAACTTCAAGCTTTTTATATTTTATATAGTTTTAGAAAATGAGGTAAGACATCTTGCCAAGAAAGGACGTGCTGGAACCCACTGCCCCACTAGGTTCCATTCTAGCTGCAACGTTGCCCATTATAACTGCTGTCTTTGGTGCATTCCATTTGGCTGTAGGGGAGTGGGGGGGGGGGGGCAGAGTTCTTTATTGCCTATAGTGATTGCCAATGGGGCTGTAGGATTCTGTCCTTTGACGTCCCTAGGTGTTCACCTCCAAAGATGTACTCTAGCAGGAGGGAGAGGTGGTGATAGGGCTATGCAGATAAGGAAGGCTACTTGAAGTGGAATGCACTGCCACAGAAACTGGGAAGCTGAAAACAAATTGGGACGTAGGTGTGGAGGAGCTCTTCCCCCTCTCTCTTAGCGCTCCTGAAGGGCTCGCAGCCTCAGCAGCACACGATGTGGTCAGCACTTGGGATTCAAACTGAAGCAGTTGACCCATGAAGCTGAAGTTCGGCGAGATGATGCTCCGGCGTTGCTTGACAAACTCAAAGGCCTCCTCAAGCTTCACTTGCTTCTTCATGATTAGGTAAGCCAAACAGATGGTAGCTGATCGGGAGATGCCAGCTTGGCAGTGCACAAGCACCCGTCCGTGACATACCTTCACAGCATCTGAGGGAGCAAAGCAGAAGTATTAGCACATTCAACCCTTAAAATGCAACTCTGACCCAATTTCGGGACTGTGAGCCAAATTCCCCCAGGCCGCCTGCCCCCCACTTTATTTATTGGGTCACTTTATACAGCCACCTCAAGTTGCTGGCCAATTAGGTGCCTATATAAATCGATCTAATCAAAATAAATAAAAAGCAAGAGTATAATTTGGTTAACATATTTTACAGCATGTGAAAGATGGCTCTTTAAAGGTACACGGTACATTTAAATTGCATATATATGTTGCTGCTCGAAGCACGAAGCTGAAAACACCAGCCCGAAGATGACGAATGGGACTTCGTCGAAACGTCGCCAAGACACTTCCAATTTTACGCGGGAGAAAACCCGAACAACCAAAGACCTACATACAAACACCCGCGAAAACCTCAGAACACACACACACACACACACACACACACACACACACACACACACACAGTTCCATATTTTTTCATCCTCCAATATCACTATCTTTCTTGTGCCTCAGTTGAATGCAAGCAAAACATCCCTCAAAAGGTATTTGTGTTTGTATGCTATTTCTAAACGTGGTTCTAGATATCCAGATGTGATACACAGTATGCACAAAGCAACCTAAATTACGTTGCAGTTTGATATGGATCGCTTATATCGTTAGAATGCAGGAATCAACAGTAACTGGGAAGATCTCCCTCATTTCTTTCAGAAAGCAGATCTTTCCAAGAAACTTGGAGAATAGCTTCCTTTATTCATGCTCAGTTCTGAATTTCCTGCAGAACTTATTCTTGGCCTCAAGTGATGGTCCTGGTAATATGCAAGAATTCTGCTGCGCTTATCAGGTTAACTCCCTCCTGAGTCAATAAAGCAGCAGTAGAGTGGAGAAAAGTATCTGTCTCTCCACATAAAGCATATTGCTATAGCTGGAAAAAAATCTTAAAGCTCTGGGGTGTAATATCCATTAGTCCTATTATCAGACATGAGAAAGTTGGGGAAACAGAACTTTTAGTGCTAACAAAAGCCTGTATCTCTTTCCCTCTCACCATGCCCAGAAACAGCACTCTGGGGCTTTTGTTCTGTTTGATGCAGCAAAGGAGCAGATATAATAGGAAGGCAGAAAGAATAGGCTCAAAGAGCCTCAAACGTGCTATAGTAAAGCTGTTGAGAGCATTGCCTTTAAAAAGAGCATCTTCTGCTGTACACAAAGAAAGTATCACATTCACAAAAACACATGGCATAGTGTAAGCCAGTGCTTCTCAATTATTTTCTGTCATGCCCCCCTCGTCATATTTCCTCGTCTTAGCCTTCGGAAGACTTTCTTTTATCTCCTTCTCTCCTTCTCTCTCCGCCTGTCTTCTCATCCCTGTTAAAAAAAATTTTTCTGTACAGAGGACCGATTTCCGGGTCTAAAAGTCACACGGGCGGGTTTGGCCAATCAGGATAGAGCATCATGTCTATCCAATCGGGTCCTTTGCATGTGTCACGTGATCCGATCTAGAAATCCAATATGACAGTATTTGCCAAGGTCAAACAAGCCCCCCTTTATGGAGCCTCGTGCCCCCCCGGGGGGGCGCGCCCCACTATTTGAGAAGCACTGGTGTAAGCCAAAATTCCGCATCCTGAACTAGAAAATGGACAGTCAAACGCTTTCTGAAGAATACAGTTTCTAGGATTGGAAACTCAAGTCTCTACAACTTGCATCCAATTGTGGCAGTCCACACTCGAGGAGAGAGCTTTTTTCGGTGGCAACACCCCCATTTATCGAATTGCTCCCCAGCAAGACCTGATTGGTGCACACATTGTCATTATTCAGCCAGCAGGTGAAAACCTATTTTCCCAGACGTCATCTTTTCATTTGTATAATTTTAGGTGCAGAATGAGAGTTTCTTTGGCTTTGTGTGTTTGTGTGCATATGCGCCCCTATGAGTCGGTCTTGACTCCCGATGACTGCCTAGTCAAGTAGCTGCAGTTTTCTTGGCAAGTTTTTTTTTCAGAAGTGGTTTGCCATTGTCTGCTTCCGAAAGCTGAGGGAAACGGAGTAGTCCAAGGTCACTCAGCTGGCTTTGTGCCTAAGTTAAGGCTAGTACTCACAGTCTCCCACTTCTAACCTGATGCCCCTTAATCACTACTCCAAACATTTCACTTGATTTTATTGTTTATGTTTTCATTCAGATTTTTAGCATGCTTTATTGTAAATAGCCCAGGGCCTTAGCTATTAGGTGATTTAAATTCAACAAAATAAAATCCAATCATCTCCACAAACATGCCATACTTTACCATTATATTACCTATGTATTCAATGGCTTCCATGAACCAGGAGCTGATGTCAGTTTTGTGGTTATCTTCTACTGGAATGCACTTATATTGAAAGTGTCCTTCAAAGTGATTGGGGCAGTCCGATGAAACATTCAATAAAGCCGTGATTCCCAAGGCCTCCAACATGTCCCTCCGAGCTGCATGATGAGCACTGCCAAGGAAAAGGAAAGGCAAGATTTCCACCGGGCCACCCTACACCAGAGGGAAGAAATGAAAAAGGGGACAACATAAGAAACAAGAAAAACACAGGACCACACGAACGAAAAACAACACACTGGACGGTGGTCAACATCTCGCCAATTCTTTCAAAAAAGGACATCACCTGAACTTCTGTAAGCTACTGTCAAGATGCACATGGAAGTGTTGTCTTCACTGGGAAATGTTCTCATCTTGCTAATCTATTTTTTTTTTTAACATTCAGTTATGACTTGCTGATTGCACCGTTCATCTATTTCTATATAGCCCCAGCTCTTCTTTATTCCATACTTTTAAAAAAATATTTTCTGTTTAGAGAATATTTAAATAGAAGATTAAATCTGAAGTTCTGCAATAAAGGATCTTGCCCACCCTGCTAGGAAAAGATGGGAGTCAGAGTCCAGATGCTCTCTCGCAACTCAGAAAATGTTGCCCCAAACAGCCAACTGTGTTCACCCACTTTACGGCTTCTTTTCACTAACCTCAAGATACTAAATATTACTCCTATAACTAAATTATGCTTTAACTATACAGGCTGCAACATGTTCTTTCCACACCTACGTTTCGGTCCAAAAATCAAAGACTGCCACAGCACAGTTGGTGAATGTTTGCAGTTAAATTACATTTATAGATTGCCAACCATGAACTACAGAAAGTTGTCCACAGTTCTGATATTACCCACCATTTTTAATATTCAACCACCATCCCCTGCCCCCTAAACCAAAACTTGGGAATCAGTAAGTTTATATTTTGCATACTGTAATTAAGATGATAGAATAAAAACGGTTGCCAACAAAAATGCCTCCCTAAATTCTATTTAGAAGTGCCAGCATGCCGAGTCACAGTGAACATGTAACTCCTAATCAGGTTTTTGGACAGGCAGTGCTGTGAAAGATATACCCAAAGCTCCATATCAGTTGCTGACAGCAAAGGAAAAAAATGCACATTTACTGCCTCTCTCCAAATAAACTTTTGCACCTGCTAGCAAATAACTTCAGAATGCACTTTATCACTTCCTTAATGACCATACTGTCGTTCTTTGTATGTAGCTCTGCACTGCACGTTTGGTTCAGTGTGCTAAGCTCAGAGCAAGCCAATAACAGTGGTCTGCTATACTAGCAGCAATCATCAATGGATTCCTCCACTTGAAGTATTTCAGGATTGAGATTGGCAGAAGATCACAAAATGAGGCCAAATCTGCTCTACTAGTATCTCCGGATAACCTGGAACCTGACAACTCTGCTTCGAGAGCTTCCGGTACGAGGCGACGGCGATGGCGGCTATCTTTTAGCCGTCCAGCTGGGGAAGTGTCAGAGCCGCGGAGCACAGCGCGCATCAGCTGGCCCGCGGCTCGGAATTCCCTTCCCGGGCAAAGGGAAGGGACAGAGAACGCAGGAATAGAGGTAGAACCCCTAAACCCCCTCTGGATTTATTTCTAGAGGGGGTGAAAGGAGTGTTCCCTCGGAGCTCCTGCTGATCTCCGCCTCCCAGCTGTTTTTGCTTCCTAGGAAGCAAAAGAAACCGCCGCTTCTATCTCCGTGTTTATAGTATTTTGGTGAGTAATTTTTAAACGGACGGAGCAGTTTAAAGGATTTTTGTTATATACTTTAGGTGTTTATTTTTTTTATTATTTGATTTTTACTATTTTTCCTCCTTTTCTTTGTTATATTAGTGAAAGGATTTAAGATGGCGTTTTGAAAGTGTCGGAGTTTTTTTTTCCTTTCCCTTTTGTTTTACTTTCCCTTTTTAAGGATTGGCTTTTGCTTTTGCTTTTGGCTTAGAATTTTTTCTTTTGAATTGTTTGCTCTTTTATCTTTTATTCTTTGGATTTTCTCTGGATTTTCAAGGACTATAGTTTGTCTCTTTTTAAATTCTTTTTCTTTTTCTTTCCTCCTCCCTTCTTGTGTGGAGGGGAAAGGGAAGTGAGAACTGCGCTTTTTAAAATGGCTTCAAAGAGACAGCAGCCTGCTTCAATACCTAAGGTTGTTTCTTCTCCTATAACTTCCACTGCACAATTACAACAACAATCTAAACATGTACCACCGGCTCAGCCACCACCCTCCCCCCCTCTGCCTGGACTTTCAGCACAAGAGGTCAGAGGCATAATGGGAGAGATTGTAGTTCAAATGAGAGAGGAAATGAAGCAATTTGCCTCACAGATTAAATCAGAAATTAAATCTGATCTTAAAGAAGAGATAACGGGGATAAAGACTAAATTGCAAGAAAATAATAATGATTTACGACAAGATATACTTGCAGCAGTTTCAGGCTTGGCTACTGTGGTGGTTAAGCTCGATGCAAGGCTTGAGGAAGTGGAAAACAAAGTTGATTCCTTTGATGATAAAATTCAAGATGTGGAAAGGAAGGTGGAGTCTTCACAAGAAGATATTTTGATGTTTCAGTACAGACAGATGGAGTATGCCTTGAGGATTAGAGGCCTCAAGGAAGATATGAATCAAGATTTGGTGGAGGTGGTCCTTACTGATCTGGCAGTGGCCTTGGATATGGATAAAGGAGAATTACATAGAGAAGTGGAAAAAATTTATAGACTTAACTCCTGGATTGCTAAGCAGAAGAATTTGCCTAGAGATGTGGTGATTTATTTTACAAAGAAGTCCCTGCGGAATGAGATTATACAAGCCTTTTACAATAAAAGATTTCAGATTGCTGCCCAAGATGTTATCATTCTAAAGGAAATCCCATCCAAAATTTTAAGAAGCAGGAAAGACTTCGCTTTTTTAACCAATGAGCTCAAAGCTAGATTGATGCCATTTAGATGGGAAATTCCGATGGGTATTGTTTTGAGCCATGCGGGGACACGCTATAGATTGAATACAGTTGACAAAGCTAGAGAGTTTTATACTTCGGTCCTGGGTGCAGGCTCAACTCCATCTGGTCAGAAATCTCCGAGTGGCAAGGAAGTCGAGCAGCAATCTGAGGCATTAGGTTTGGTTTCCGCTGGGATGATACAAGCTGAAAGGCAACGCCAGATGGAGGTTAAAGAGCAGAGGATGACTCGTGCAGCTTATAAGCGTAAAGAGAAGGAGCAACGTAAAAAAGAGCCTAAAGAGAATTCTTCTGGAAGTGCATCATCGCCGGTGGGAGGAGCAAGACCCAAGAGTTATGCAACACATGCAGCTCTTTCAGATCTTGATGGTGTCTTCTCCAGGCTGCGTGCCAAGGGAGATGGCAAAGTTTTTGACCTGGAATGTTAATGGATTGAATTCTCCTCAGAAACGGAAAAAAATCTTTTATTATTTGAAGCAACATACCAATGATGTTATTTGCTTACAGGAAACTCACATTTTACTTAAAGATCAGAAATATTTAGTCAATGCTCGTTTGGGAACTCATTTTATATCTTCTGCTCCTGGGAAGAAAGGGGGAGTTGTTATATATGTTAAACAAAACCTACCAGCTTGTCTGGTAGAATCAGATCCCCAGGGGAGATATGTGATGATTGAACTTGGTATATATGGTAAGAAAGTACTTATAGTGGGACTTTATGCTCCAAATCAACAACAGGAACAATTTTATAAGCAGTTACATCAAAAAATAACATTGCTTGACTATAGATCAGTGGTATTAATGGGTGATTGGAATGGCGTCTTAGATATACAAAGGGACAAGAAAGGTTCCTCTCCTTTTCTTAAACAAGCAAGGTTACCTAAAGCTTTTTTTGATATGAAGGAAGACTGGGAATTAAGGGATTATTGGCGGGAATGTAATCAAGAGGAGAGAGATTTCACTTTTTTTTCTGATAGACACCAATCTTTTTCAAGAATTGACTTTTTTTTGATTACTACGGATTTGTATAATAAAGTAAAGAATGTAAAGATTTTTCCTAGATCACTGACGGATCATAGCCCAGTTTGGATGGAGCTGACTCAAGAGAAAGAGGAAAGGAGATCCTGGAGAGTTAATGAAAATTTGTTCAGACAAGAGAAGAATGTTCAAAAGTTAAAGGAGTGTTTAAAGGACTATTTTGCTTTGAACATGTATAAGGGGACTTCAATGTCAATGGTATGGGATGCAGGTAAAGCATTTATGCGTGGTGTTTTGATAAAAATGAATAATTGTCATAAGCGGAAGCAGATGCAGAAACGTAGAGAACTTGAAGATGAAATTAAATCAAAAGAAATGGCCTTGAGTTTAAATCCTTCTGATGAAAGTATTAAAGAATCTGTAAAGTTACTAAGGTCACAATTTAATATGTTGATAGCAGATCAAGCGGCAACTAATTTATTGTTTATGAAACAAAATACATTTTGTAATGCTAATAAGCCTGGGAGATGGTTGGCTTATCAATTAAGAAAGAAACAGAGACAGAGAATAATAGAGAAAATAAATTACAAGGGTAAATTAGTTTCTCAGAAGGAATTGATTAAAAAATCTTTTTTGGATTATTATCAAAAGTTATACAAATCTACTAATGTGCAACTGCTAGATATAAATAAATATCTAGCTGAGGCAAGTTTTCTAAACTGACTGAGGATCAGAAACATGAAATTAATGGTTTAATTACTAAGGAGGAAATTGCCTCAGCAATTCAACAATTGAAACTAGGGAAAGCACCGGGTACGGATGGGTTAACAGCTGTTTATTATAAAGCTTTAATGGAGGAGATGATCCAACCATTAAATGATCTTTTTAATGGTATCTTACAGGGTTTAGAGATTCCTCCTTCATGGCGTAGTGCTTTTATATCATTGATTCCAAAGGAGGATCAAGATCTTACTTTACCAAAAAATTATAGGCCTATATCTCTTTTAAATGTGGATTATAAGATATTTGTAAAAATTTTGGTAAATAGGCTTATGAGGGTGGCGCATCATCTTGTGCATAAAGATCAATCAGGGTTTATAACAGGAAGGTATATGAAAAATAATGTTAGACAAATTATTAATCTATTAGAATATTTAGACAAGAACAACCAAGTTTCTGCAGGGCTCATATTTTTAGATGCTGAAAAAGCATTTGATCAATTGAATTGGCAT